TGGCAGAGCTGGGATTGTTCACCTAGACAGGAGCAGCTTTGAGGTGACACAACTGCGGCCTCACAGTGCCTGAAGGAGCTGCAGGAAAGATGGAGAGAGAATTTTACAAGGAGTGACAGGACAAGGGGGAATGGCTTCACACTGACAGATAGTAGGGTTAGATTGGATATTAGGAAAAAAAAATTACTGTGAGGGTGAGGGGGTCTTGGCACAGGGTGCCCAGAGCAGCTGTGGCTGCCCCTGGATCCCTGGCAGTGCCCACGGCCAGGTTGGAGCCACCTGGGACAGTGGGAGGTGTCCCTGCCATGGCAGGGGTGGCACTGGATGAGTTTGAAGCTCCCTTCCAACCCAAACCATTCCATGATTCTATGACAAGCTCCTTTAAGGGCCAGCAGAATTCTTTCACCTGCTCTTGGAAATCTTTTTGGCTGCCCCTGGATCCCTGAAGTGCCCAAGGCCAGGTTGGCAGCTGGGACAGTGGGAGGTGTCCCTGCCCATGGCAGGGTTTGGATGAGGTGCTCTTTAAGCTCCCTTCCAGCCCAAAGCATTGTGTCATTCTATGATATGCTTCTGTTAATATTAGTGTAGGTACAGCTTTTGAAATCCTCCTGGCACTTGCTGGCACTTGAAATGTGCCACCCTTTTGTTTGGCTCCTTTGAGGTCACCGCCTCAATCTCACCTCAGTCTTTCCAAGAGGAATGTGGCACTCCTGTCCATCAGAGAGCTGCAGTCCTGCCCCACACCTGCCTTAATCCCACCAAGGTTTGTGAATTCTCTGTTTGAACCTTCTTAGGAATGACCCTGCTCATCTCTGTGATGCTGCTTTACCAGTTTGTTGACATTCCCATGAGGAAGGTGAGAAAGTTTTTTTGCTATGTCCTTTCAACTCTTGGATTGATAAAAAACCATTGTAGTTGATGTTAGTTATTAGTTAGTTATTCGATGTTAGTTATTAGTTAGTTATTAGTTAGTTATTGGATGTTAGTTATGGATGTTGGTTCCTGCAAACCTCTGACATTGCCAAATGGGCTTTTTTTATTTCTTTGTTTGCAACCCTGCACTCCATTGAAAGAAAAGACACTCTGGATGTGTCAGGAAATTCCTTTGTTGTACTGATGACAGCCTAATTCTATCTTTAGCCTCAAATTCTGGAATTGCAAGGCCAAGCCTTCCCTTTATGAGAACAGGGATGACCTGGAGGAAGAACTTTCCTAGCAGCAAGTTTGTTGTTTCCACTCTGAACCGATGTTAATTGATCAACTCAGATACAACTTCTCCTTACAAGTCTCGCCTTTGTGAGGGGAGAAAGAAACTTGCCCAAATCTAAATATAAACAAGGTGCAGTGGAAAATGCACATGTGCCTGCTGTAGGGGTGTGAAGTGATGTCTCCCTTCCTAAAGCAGCACGAGCTGCAGGTTAAGGGAGTTCAGTGAGCAGTTGTAAATCTACACCCTGGTTCCTCCTGGTCATGAGAGATGACTCCCAGGCTCTGCCATGGGTGGCACAGGGTGCCCTGTGAGCTGGCAGGTGCAGCCCCTTGTCACAGACATCTTGTATGAAAAATCCTTTCCTGAGAAGCTGAGAGGCCTCAGGAACAAAATGTAAACAATGATTATCTGCTGCTGTGGAATGCAACAGGTGCATCTTTGATTTGCCCATGTTAGATGTTTGTAATTAATGACCAATCACAGCCCAGCTGGCTCAGACAGAGTCCAAGCCACAAACCTTTGTTATCATTCTTTGCTATTCTATTCTTAGCCAGCCTTCTGATGAAATCCTTTCTTCTATTCTTTTAGTATAGTTTAATGTAATATATATAATAAAATAATACATCAGCCTTCTGAAACATGGAGTCAAATCCTCATCTCTTCCCTCATCCTCACACCCCTGTGAACACCATCACAGCCCCTCTGCACACCCAGGCTCCCTGCAGCACTGCTCACACCTTCCACAGCCTGGGCTGCAGCAGGGAGGCAGCTCTTGCAACAGAGCACAAGGTTCCTCTCTGTTCCCAGGCTACAAATACTCTTCCAAGTGACCAATGCCTCAGGAACCTGGAGGCTTGTTGGAATTTTTACTGCAGGTGCTTGCAGGAACATCTGACCTGAGGGCAGGTAAAACCTGTTACCCTCTGCCATGCACACAGCTCCTCCCTGAGCATTACAAATCATCTCTGCTGTCTAATCCTCATTCTTTTCTCTTCCCAGCACAGTGTAAGTGCTCTCCTGAGATTGCTTGCAGTTCTGGGAGGTAGGCAAGGAGCCAGTGGCAAAAGGAGAAAGGTTTTTCTAGTGCAGGCAGATTTTTAACCCTTAGGTCTGATAGGAGCTGCCACAAATCTCTCATTTCTTGGAGTTTTGGGTCTCCTGTTACAATAACTAGCTCTGATAGGAGCTGCCACAAATCTCTCATTTCTTGGGGTTTCAGGTCTCCTGTTACAATAACTCCTGTCAACTTCACAGATTTGTTTGCGATGTTTGCTTGATTTACTTATTTTTATAATATATGTAATTAATGAAGCCTTCTTTGGGCTTCTGTCATTGCATTTGATCTCTCTGGTGTCTCACAAACAGACTTTTCAAGCTGTCATTGAATCCTTTACATTTCAGATCTTCTAACTTGGGGTTCAAATAGAGTGAAAAAGGTGGCTCTTTGTCCTTGCCATGCCATCTCCATCATTCTCAAACTTTGATGCCATTTGGGCTTTCCCTTGCCCTTCTCCGAGTGCATAACCCCATTGCAGTTTTCACTAACGGGGATCAGACTGAGGAAATTGTATAAATTGTGGCCAGTATCAGATGAGAAGTTGCCTGGAACCCTGAGGAGTGTTGTTCCTGTGCCAGACTGTGAACCCTCCTAGCTCAGAATGTGTCTTTTCCAAGCGATTGATTGTTCTGCCAGGAGATTACACATAGCCAGTCCTTTTTCCTTTGGGCTGGTGATCATTTGGATTTACTGGTGTCACACATCAGTGAGCAAAATCTAACTGGCAGTGTTTGCCTCTTATCCCAAACTTGTCTTTTTTGATTGTTGTGATCATTTCAGCATCCTTGTGCAAGCTTTAATACACCTTCCCTTCCCTTCTGCTTGGCTCAGGTTCTGGATGTCATCCTTCAAGCTTCTGCTTTCATCTATAAAACCTTAATCGAGGACTTTTTGTGGTGTCTCTGCCTAATCCAAGCTTACTTAGGCCATGGAAAAGTTAATTTGTGGTGTTGGGTGTTGCTTATGTGATGAAATGACAATCTCAGAGGAGAGAGCTCTGCCTCATATGACATCAGCTTTCCAGTGAGCTGTTTAAAAAGCTGGATTATTTTTTTTCTTGTAAAGCTGTGATGGGCCATCATTTCAATACTAGTAAATATTTCTGATGGTGAGAACAAACTTCCTTTTATAGTATCCACACGCTGCTGTTTTTACGGAATCCAGCCTGGAGCTGTTTCCTATTTCTGAGTGTTGGCTCACACTCAGCAGCTCCTGGTGTTCACATGCTCTGTCTCCCTCTGTTTCTCTCTCAGCTTTTTTAGCCCTGTTGATCTATTATTGTGTCTTTGGCCAGACGACGCCAGCTTTCAGCATTTAATGGGCTGGGAGAGAGCAACAGCTTCCTCTGCCTGTGAGACCATGATGTCATCAGCTACTTTGGGCTCTTTCACCATCCTGATGCTTTGGTGGATGTGGAAAGAATGCAAACAGCACTTTCCAGATGTTCTCAGGGCAGCTGGAAAACCATGCGTGGATTGTTTGCTTGGGGAATATTGCTGCTCTGTTTAGGTTCAGCAGGGAGAAGGGTGATGAAAACACAGCTCCTGTGCTCTCAGGTGTCTCACAGAGGGTTGTTGGGGTGTTAAGTGATGGCACAGCTTATTCAGGACTCCAGCTGGGCACCTGAAATATCTTCCTACCTGCTCTCCATTCCCTCCCTTCCCTTCCTTCCTCCAGCTTCAGCTCCTGAGTGAAGTACAGGATCCTTCTGACCTCCTGCAAGGCAAATGCTGTTTTGTTCATGCAGTTCCTCAGAGTTACCTCAGCAGTTGAAGATAAAGAAAAGAACAGTTATCTAGTTTTTAAACTCCCAGTAAAATATTTGATGTAGTAGAAGCTCCTGAATAAACACAGGGGAGTTTCATCTTGGTGCAGTGCAGACTGGGAATTTGGAAGCCCTCTCCAGGGCTGGAAAAAGCATCAGCTCTCACCCACTTGTGGCATATCCAAAAAAGTCTATTTTTAGGGAGAAGCGGTCACTTCCTTCTTTAGGGTGGGTGGGTGGGTGTTTTTAATGCATTAATTAATTTTTATTGAGTGATGGAAAAGCTGATGTCAGAGCTGCATTGCGGTTGGGCGTGCAGGAGCACAAGGTGGTAGGAAATAACACAGCTAACACATGAGGGCAGGGAGAGTTTAACCATGGGCAGTTTAAAATAGCCCAGCTGAGCCCTATGGATATTAAAAACTATGACTGAATCAAAACAACCATCTAATATTAAACTGGACTTAGCTGGGGGAGGAACAAACCTGTTGGGTTAATTTCTGTTGTTGTATCCAATGTCCAAGGGATGTTTTTTGGTCTCAACACCTGCATTTCTGACTTAGGGGTTATCTATTTTTGACTTTGCAGGGGTAATACAGGTTGTCTTTTACTGGGGTTTTTATTGAGGAGTCTGTAGAGTATCCTTTCCTTTTTACAGTGGTCTATAAACTTGTCCAGCATGACTTCTTGCCTGGCTGCTCTCACAGTTCAGATTGCACAGATCCACAGCAGGGAGGGGGAGGGAAATGCTTTGGAAATGGGAGCCAAGGCAGAGCACAGTTACATAATTGTACAAAAGAAAAGAGGTTTTTTTTGTTTTGTTTTTCCTTCCCATATCCTCCTGCCTACTGAAAAATTGTTGTTGGAAGGCTGGATGGAAAAAACTTCAGCATCGTTCATCCCTATGGGGGCATGAAATGCATTGAAATGTTCCACCTGTTTTATGGCTGGTGCTTTTCCTCTTTCAGGTTTGACATCTACAGGAAGGTGCCAAAAGACCTTACACAGCCAACCTACACAGGGGCCATTAGTAAGTAACTTCTTTTTGATGTCCTTGCATAGCCCTGGTCTAAAATTAAAGATTGTTTGGCCTCTCTGTCTGCAGGAATTCTTTTAAAGGGATGGTAAGTATTGGAAAGGGTGTCCTTTGTTGCTGAGGCAGCTTGTTCTGCCCATCAAACAGTGGGATGGTTTGTGTGAATTCAGAACTGAAGCATGGTTTGGGTTGGAAGGGGCCCCAAAGAGCCTCCAGCTCCAGCCACTGATAGGGATCCACTCTCACTCCCATGGATCAATCCACGGACTCTGGCTGATACACATCTCTTGCCTTGGGCCCCTTTTCCTCCCTTCCTGCTCCTGAGGGAGGCTGGAGGCTGAGTAATGCCATTTCACACAATGATGTGCAGCGAGCTGGCTGGGCAGAGGGCTTGGTAAACATTGATCAGGCTGATCCTGCCAGGCCTGTCCTTCCCCTGCTCGTGCAGCTTTCCTGTCCCTCTGAGCAGGGACTTCCTTTGATCAGGGAGCTGTGCCCCACTCAGCCACGCTGGGAGATGGGTCAGTAGTCTTGTGTGTCATTGCTGACGTGAGTGATGTCACATCCCTTGGTGACAGCACGCAGGACTGAGTCAGTGCCAGTGAATCAGGACACAAAGGAAAGCCCTCTGTGAGCTGGAGAAACTCCTGCCTGTGAGCATGGCTGAAGAACAGGTTGGTGTGGAGTCCCTGTCCTTGGGGATGCTCCAAACAACCAGAGCTGGGCCTGAGCAGCCTGCTCAGAGCAGGGGAGTTGGGTGGGATGGGCTCCAGAGAGTCCCTGCCAGCTTCAGCTATCCCGTGCTTCTGTGAAGATAACACATTTCCCTAAATATTTACTCTCAGAGTCCTTGTCCCCTGAGCTCTCCTGGCCACTGAATTCCTTGTATCCCAGCTCCCATGTGGGTTTGCTGAAGTTGGGAACAAAGAGCTTGACTCAAACTGTTTGGGAATTCAGGGGCGGATGAGATTTGGTGTTTTGAAGGAACACTTTGAACTTGTGAGTGATCCTGCCTTCTCTGCTGTTTTGGAAACTCAAGAGTTCCCACACTGCCACTGGGCTCCCTTTGAGAATTTGTCTTGTTATGAATCACCTGCAAAAGAGTATTTTAGCAGCAAAAAAAACCATCAAAGGCCACCAGAGTTTAGGCTTTCAGATCTGCAGTAAACAGCTCAAGTGATAAGTCTGTTGTGGGAAGGCTTCAAGGTTGTGACTCTTACTTACAATTATTAGCTGACTTATTTCTCTCTATTGTTATTTACAGCTTCTCAGGCTTTGATTTTCTTCTCTAACTGGTTCTCCTTCTTCTTCTCACAGTGTTTTTAGGCAGCCTGATAGAAGCTTCTCAACCACACAGGCAGCCAACAAACTGGTGCCTTTGCCTGAGAGGATCTTGTGAGCAGCTTTTCTAAAGGGCTTTTTTCTGTCTGACCAAGCCTGTGGCTTGTAATTTGAAAGCCACTAATCAGGTGTTGTAGGAGGCCATGGATGAGACCAGCCCATTGCCAGGCCAGCTGGGAGCCTGGGAAGGTTGCATGACCTGGAGAAAAATTGCTTTAGGGAAGTCAGCTTGTGTTAGTTAACACTGGGAGCTTGAGTGCAGGGGAAGGCTCTGCCTCTCAAAAAAGCTTTTAGGCTTTAGTAATCATGTGGAATTTCTATGACTGTAACTTTATTTTGGCTTTCTTTAAATCCTCCGAGTTTTACAGAGCAGATATAAAATAGTCCATGATATCCAACTATTAATTTAGGCCTTTTCCATATGATTTCTGCTGAAACCTTAGTTCAGTATCACTTCTGTGCTGAAGGCTTTCTGGGATAGGAATGGACCTACTACAGGGTTTCAGCAGTGACTTTTGGATTGTATAAAGGTCTATTTTCAAAAACAAAGGTTGAGGTTTATTAGGGAAGAAGGCACAGCTCAGATTACAGAAGAAAAGAGATGGAAAAGAACAGCTCTGCTCCTCACCAGGGCTGAAGGTGCCAGGGCTGAAGGGAAGCAGCAGCTAAGGGAGAGGAAGTGTTGGGGGATTTTGAGGGAGAAGAGCAGGTGGTCTCAAACATGAGCAAGCTCGGAAGCCAACTGGAGTTACTGAGGCTTTCTTAGGTATGGATTTTTAAATCCCAGATTTGCAGTGAATGCTTTATACAAGATACTTCAGATCTGTGTGGCAGCCACTCAACTACAAACAATTTTTTAGGAATGAAGAAACCAAGAATTTACTTGGAGTGAGGTTTGTCCAGAACAGCACAGCCACTGCTGTGGGCTTCTCTGGGAAGTGTGTAGAAGTCACTCATTCCTTTCCCTCAGTAAAAGTCCCTTCTTCAGGCAGCATCCCTGTCGCGTTGTCCCTCTTCCACCAATTTTTCCAGGTGCTCCCACTGTGTGTAGCATGTCTGTGGTGCCAGTGTGACAGACGTGGTGACAACCTGGCCATGTTTGGGTACAGAGGCAGCAGCAGCAGCACTCCTGGCTGCCTGACAGTTGGCATCTGGCTGGGCAGGAGCTCTGGAGAGGAGCCTGCAGCTGCTGGCACCCTCCTGCTGCCCAGCCATCGCTGTGGATGCATAGTTTGCATGCACATGTTGTATGCACACATGGAAACGTTATCCAGAAATACTCTGTGCTGTTTGGGGGCTGGAGTTTTAAATACACATCAGGAAATATCCGAGTTATGATTCACATGGCGCCTGTAACAGGACCCGTTCCTTGTGCTTCATAACAGTTTGCTCCACTGAATAATAAATACTATTAATTTTATGCCTTAATATAGACATGGCTCCATGTTCTCAGCCTGTGTGATGTGTTAAACACTTTGCCTTTCTCTCATTTCTCCTGGGGTGGGGAGGCAGAGCCAGGAATGCACGCAGCCGGGGTTTGGAGTGGAAGGGATAAGTACAGAAAGGTTAGTGCAGGAATACAAACCTTGGCAGAGTTTCCCATCCTTTTGGGATTGCAGATTAGCACTGTGTCTACACCAGCAACCTTTGATATATTGATCATGTTATCATATTAGAGCTTTAGAAAACCTGTCTCAGATGTTGCTGGAGCTCTGTGGGAACGTCGCCGTGCTCTTGCAGCTAACGAAGCTTTGTGCATGAATTGTTTGATTCTGTCTGATCCCAGCCTTTAATCTACTTTTCCAAATATAGTACACTTGTCAAATGTGGGTGGTAGGACTGCACATTTGCATGGAGGCAGGTAAAAGCCTTCACTGTGAAAGAAGCAGCAGAAGCACCCCGTGCATAAATTCCTGTGCTGGGAACGTCTGTGCCTGCAGCTCCAGCTGAGAGAGGAGCTCCTGTTCTGCAGCTGAGGAAATGCTGCCTCTGGAGAGAGTAACTGATAGTGCTGGCACATGAGCCTCATGCCAAAAGCTCCCCCTGCCCTGGAAATGTGTGTGTATAGGAAGAGTTGAGCAGTGCAGTGTCCTGTTTCCAAGAGGGTGCTGCAGCAGATGCCTGAGGAAGAGCAGGAGGGGCAGGTCAAACACTGCACCAGGCTTTGCTCAGTTGACTCCTGAGCTTCCAGAGCTGGAGTTGGTACCTTTGTGTTTAGTATCCCTCAGTGGATTTCTTCCTCAGGGCATGTGTGATTCCTTTTTGTAATCTAACAGGTTTTATTTCAGCATCTGTAGTCAAGAATCCTCAGAATTTAGTTGTGCAAAGGAAAACCTTCCCTTGTTTTTAACCTCCCCTTTCCATGTAGTTCCCATACTGGAAGAGACAGTGGGTGATTGTTCCCCACTCACCTCCTTCAGGCTGCTCATGATTTTATATCCCCCTCTCATGTCCACCTTCAGCATTCTCTTTTACAGCTTCAAAACTGACTCTGTGGTTTGAGGACTGGGAAAAGCATTGAGGAGCTTTGAAAGTCAGTCCCTGCCAGGCACTTGAGGGCATTCTTGCAGGGTTTATTAGATACAGCTTAGTGGAATTTTACTGTGCTGTGTTTGGTAAGTATTGTCACGAACCTTCACTGCAAGAGCTGAACTGAAAATGGACTTGAGGGAGCAAGTACTGGAAAAGAAGAAGGTATTTTGATTATATAAGTGGCAGAGAAGGAAGTTTAAAAATTGGAGGAGAGAGGAAGCTGTGGGAGAGAATTTAGTTAAGAGAGTTAGTAGTAGCAGGCTTTCCTAGAAGTGCTTGAGAGCAGAGAGGTCTGGCTGATGCTGTGGAAAGCCTTTATGGGATTATAACAAGCAGCAAGGAATATGGGAAGCAATTAAAGAAAAAAGGCTTGTCTACGTCAAACACTCTCCCTGCAACGGCCAGAGATCAGAGATCTCGTGTCTCTGTCAGTGATCAGCACTACAAACACTGGATCCACTCATGTGCTGCCTTGGTTTCTTTTTTTGGGCTGTTATGTAGGTGTGGATGTTCTCACAAGAATTTGCTGCTGTGCTTTGAGCAGAGCTTTCTCCTGGTGCCCCGTGCCAGGGTCACAGCCCTGGTGACCTTCTGTGTCCTGGTGGGAGCAGCTGTGTGCCCATCTGAGGTTTCTCTCAGGATTAATGGCCCTTCTTGCTTCCTGTTTTCCTGCTGGTCTTTGGGGTTTTTTTCCCTCTCTTTCCTCACCCTAACTAGTGAATAATAAAGTTCTGGAATGCTCTTCCCAGGGAGGTGGTGGAATCACCATCCCTGGATGTGTTTAAGAAAAGACTGGACGTGGCACTGGGTGCTATAGTGTGGTTGAGGTGTTAGGGCACAGGTTGGACTTGATGATCTCAGAGGTCTCTTCCAACCTCATTATTCTGTGATTCTGTGATTTTTTTGGCATCTCTGTTAATCCCTTGCACTTTAGAGTGGGTCAAATGAATCCACAATTGAAATTACCCTGATGAGGAAGGGGAAGCAACGCATTTCTCTTTCCTCAGAGCTGGAAGAATGAGGCACAAGGCTTTAGGTCACTCAAGGCTCTGTGTCAGTACTTGCCCTCAGCACCTCTTTCCTTCCCTTGCCTCTCACATTCTTTACCAAGGGAGAGATAAAATTGTTCCCAGCCTGTTGTTACTTGAGCTTCCCGAAGGAATGGGCACTCAGGCTGTGCAGGTCATGTAGAATAAAGTTGAGGAACGTGGCTTTTTTTAAAAAAATGTATTTCTCAACCCTAATTAGTGGTCATTTCACAGAGGGCTGTGCTGGGACGGAGGGGTTGTGCTGGGATTATGCTCTGGCTGTCACTCAGTTCCTGCTTTGCCTTTCTGTGAGTGATTCATGGTGAATTTGGTATTGTATTTAACACAGGGACACACTGCAGCCCTGTCCCCTTGGGCTGGCACATCCTTGCCTGCTCCAGTCATCCGTGATCCATGGGATTTACAGCTGTGCTTCCTTCCAGCCCCTCCTGGGTGGGTCACTGTCACTGCTGCTTCAGTGTCCCTGCTCAGGGGTTGGAATCATTTCCTGGTGAAGAGCAAACAATAAAATTCCAGCTACTTTGGGTTCCCTCCATGCAATTCCGGGTTGGAATTCCTCAGAATTGTTGTCTGGCTCCCTCACAATTCCTTCAGTGGGGATTTTCCCTCTCTGCAGAGTCAGCAAATGGAGAAATGAGAGAAGTCAGGCACTGGCTGCACAACTCCAGTATTGCCATTTCTCTGCTGTCCAGCTCTGAGGTGCCTTTGGAACACAGAGCTTTGGAACCTGACTGAGAGCCAAAATGTCCCCTCATCCCCAAAATAGTGTGAGGAGACTGTGTGCTTTCAAAGCAAGGAGGTGCTGGTTCTTTTTGCCTACTGGAAGTTTTAGTAGTGATAAAATTGGGAGCCAAGGCTCCAAGGAAGAGATGCTGTCAAGAACAGGGAGTGCTGGCACACCAACATTGTGTGCTGGAAAAGGAGAATGTGGGAAGATGGAAATGATGACAGAAAAAGTGGCCCAAAAGTGGAAGATATCCCTGTTCTGGGTCATTAATTATTAAGCCAAGGGATGCTCATATTTTCACTGCAAGAGGCAAAGAAATTAAGATGAGGCTTTTCTATTATCTAGAAATTATTATCTTATTAATAATATCTCTAAAATATTATCTTGCCTGTAAGCAGAATTAAGACATGTCTTTGGTAAGTCCCAAGGTTGGGAATGCAGTGGTCAGGATTTTATGTGAATTTGAGAGCTTTTAGGTTTTTTTCTTGTGTGCAGAATCTTCTGGTGTTTGCTCAGTGGGAAAGACACAAGTTTGATATTTATGCATTCATAAAATAATTGAATTTTTAATGGTTCCTCAGGATGTTTGGATATTGGCATGGCATTGAAGTCACTGCTCTGGTGGGCCCCTCTTGGTCATGGACTCTAAAAATTGTTAATTCTCATTTGTGTAAGGGTGGCATATCCATAGGGGCAGTGATAGGGCTGTGTGAAAGCAGTTTTTGTCTTTGTTACAACACAAAACTAACCTTTTCCTCTCCTTGCCTCTGTTCCAGTCTCTGTCTGCTGCTGTCTCTTCATATTGTTTCTCTTCCTGTCTGAGCTCACCGGATTCATAGCCACTGAAATGTAAGTAAAAGTCATGTTTTCCCCTGCGTTTAAAGTCATGTTTTCCCCTGTTTGTGTGCCTGTGAATCTTTACAGCTTTACTGTTATCTGACAGAAATATTCCTGTTATTTCACTAGGTCATTTAGTTGCCTAATGGGTTTGGGATTCCTTTAGGTTGAGTCCAAATTCTCAGACAATCATTCAGCTTTTTAATTTGTTAAAATTAATAGGCAAACTTGGTTCTGAACTATTTTTGATAGAGGATCCTTTATTAGCTGCATGCTGGATTGCATAATTAGCAGCATGGAGAAATGGATTGCATAAAATAAGAATTATTAATTTAATATCAATAATTGCTTTTTTTATGATGTCAGAGCTGAATCTCTGATTCATGCAGGTAGCTTTATTAATGTGTGAATTTTTTTCTTCTTTTGTTGAGCCTTACTAGGAAACCTTATTCACAGGTTTTGTGTCTGAGGACAAGTTGCCCCAAGTGGTGTCAGCTGTGAGAAAATGGAAATAATTTCTACTTTTTGAAATTATTCATTCAACAAGTATGAAGTACTTATTAACACCGAGTTAATCAGAATTTTATTTTTCCCCTCCTGTTCTCATGTCCTTCCTGCCTGAAAGTAAACTTTTAGTAACTCTTAACACATGTACCTTTGTTTTGGGCTCTAGGAAACCTTCTCCATCACCCTGCTGATGTGGCAGTGAGCTCACTGAGTGTGAGGCACAGTTCCTGGATAGTTGGGAAGGGTGGAACTTCTGTCAGGCTCACATGATGGTCCTGATAGCCACAGATGTCAGTGCTGAGCTAAAAGGCTCTGAAACCTTGCTCAGATTGGCCATTTTGATAACCAAGAGAGGCTCTTGCATTGTTTTTGTGCAGCTCTGTCTTGGATCAAGAGTATGATTTCAGGAATAATGTTGAGGTTGACTAATGTTTAACTGAAGGCAGGAGTGTAATCAAGCTCGAGATCATTTTTTGTGCCTGTTGCACGTTTACTTCAGAGATGGTATCTCACATTTCTTGCTTGCTCACAGTTTCTTTGACTTCAGTTCCGTGTGTTTGCTTGTGAAATCCGGGGTCACCTTATCAGCCACTTCACAGAGCTGAGTTTCCTTGGGTTTCTTGTTTTACAAAACACAGAAAAGCCAGACAGACTGCTTCAAGTAAAGCACTGCTTTTTCTTTCTCTCCTCATAGATCCCATTCTCTTGCCTGGTTTTCTTTTTTCTTCCAGTTAATGCTTTACAGGAGGAATTAGTAATATTTACCTAGTTTTGACCCAGTTACTGGAGAGCACATCTTTATGTAGTGGCAGTTTCCTGACTAGAAATTCCTTTTTGAACAGCACAATTGCAAAACTCTGAGGAATCTCCTTGCTTTTTCCTTAAGAAGATGATGCATTTTCCACAGAAATATTGGGAAGTGCTGTAAGCACGCTCAGCTGACAAGTTCCTCATTAAAACCTCAGAGAGATGGTGAAGTGCCTTTCCCAGCAGGAGCTGTGTGGGCTGAAGGTGTTTGCAGGCAATAAAGCAGTAAAGTTGGAGAGGGGATGTCACACAAGAGTCTGGGACAAATGACTGCAGGAACCTGATTCGTCATGGGCTGTCCAGCACAAAAGCTCACACAAAAGAGTGGGAAAACCTCCTCCTGGTGAGTTACAAGTCACCAGACTCTTGCTGGGAACATTCACCCCCAGCAGTTGTGAAAAGGCTCTCCCAGAACAGCGGAAATGCTTCAGAAAGTCACTTCAAGTCCTTCCCAGTTCAGAGACTTCGAAAGCAGGAGTAAACTTTTATTTTCCATTTCTTACTCATTGGTTTCTCTTCTGAGAAACCCAGTACAAGTTGTTGTGAGCCTCTTGTGGTTCGCTCTCAGTCAGGTATTACTGGCAGTGAGTTGTGAGGCAGCAGAGCCTCATCACTGGGAATAAGAATTGGGAGCTCTGCGTGGTCTGGAACTTGTGAGAGCTCTGTGCTGCCATTAAACTAGGTAATAGCAGATAGCAGGGGAAATACTGTCTCAAAAAGGTTCCTGAGCCTTGTTTTCCCATGATCCAAATACTTACAGATATATGGAAGATTCCTTATGTGCAAACTGTTCAGCTCTCATCAGCTTTTATTGCAAGCTTCAAGGTGTTTTTTTTAATATTGAGAGTCTCCTACAACAGATACCTCACCCAGACTGAAGTTTCCCAATGCCAGCCAGGACCTGGATGATTACAGGTGTGCAGTTACGTGGGATGAACTTTCCTGCTTTGTCACTGCCAGCTGTGCTGTGAGACTGCATCACTCTTTCTCCTTTCGTGTCATATTTCCCTCAAAGCATTGACAGAGCCAGGCTGGGTGGGGAGAGCTGCACAATTCTGATGACAAGGTGAGCCCTTGGCCTGGTGTTTTACATCAGAGACGTGGCACGTGCCCTGCTGAGCCCTCAGAGCCTGTTCCACAGTTATTGTGTGTGAGGTGTGTGCAAGGACAGCTCCTTCAGGGCAGGGGTGCCCACAGGATTCCCTGTCTCACCCTCAGCACTGAGATTCCCTCCGTGGCTGCACCTCAAGCAAGAGGTTGGTGTGGTTTGTTCAGCTCGTGCTGCAACATGAGAAAAGAAGAATCTGCTGTGCACCACAGTGACCCCAAACACTCCCAAACGCTCTCAGGAGTGCAGCAGCCTCAGTGCCTGGCGTTACTCGAAATCTCGGTTTGGCCGCACTTGCCCAACTTCAGAGCTGTTTTTCCTTGACCAGCCCGTTGTGGTGGCATTTACAGTCTCAGCTGCTGAAGGCTTGTCTGGGTGGCAGAGAGCCAAGAAATGACACCCTCATCTCGAGGATCACAGTCACAGCCCTAAACCCAAACATTACCTGTGTGGGGAGGACGGCAGCTGTGTCATAACTCGTGTGGGCATTTCTAATGAGCGCTGGGGCTGTGCTCAGGAGCTGGCTCCAGTTAGGAAGTCAAAGCAAGACACTGCAGGAAGCTCATGGAAGAGGTAACACTCCAAAGGCACGTCCTATTCCGCTGCTGACGGGTTTCCTGGGGAGACCAGCCCTGAGGAGGGTAGAAAACTCCCAAGTTGCTCATCTTCCAGATTTATCCTGTGACCCTCACAGGCCTGTGAGCAGCCATGAAGGAAATCCAAGCTTGGCACTTAGGTGGGGCTGCATCCTTCCCAGGAAAAGCACAGTGAAGGGCTGGTGAAGGAAAAGAGCTTTTTTCTTTTCTCAGTCACAACCCATCATTGCCATTAAGGGGAGGGTGAGTTTAACTCTGGACGTCAAGGATCCTCTTGATTTTTAGGGTTTTTTTTTAGTCCAGACTAAGAGTGACTGAAGACTTAGTGCAAACTTCAGGCATTGGAATGTCCCCATCCCTGGAGGTGTCGAGGGACCACCTGGATGTGGCACTCAGTGCTCTGGGCTGGGGGACAAGGTGGGGATGGTCACAGGTTGGACTCAACGATCTTGGAGGTCTTTTCCAACCTAAGTGATTCCATACCAAGAACATTGATGAATCCCCTCAATTCTGTAGAAGATAAAGAAAAGGAGGTCTGTGCTCCACGTTTGAACCTCCGAAAGATGAACAGCATCAAACTCTCCTGTCCCACTGAGCCAATGACTCAAATGGCTGAAGAAATTAAGCTGAAGGGTTAAATGTGCCTGGTTTTTCCTGGGAAAAACCAACAGTTAGTTGAGTTGAGAGTACTCTGAGGGCTAGAAATGGCTTGTTCTGCCTTTAGCAGCCTCCTCATTCCTCTGCTGCTGTGTTGCAAATCAGAAGCATAGAAATCACCCCTCTCTTTTCTAATTAACTCAGATCAGTGCTAGACGTTAATAGCTGGCAAGATGATAATCTCACTGTTTTATCACCCTAATTAGGTCATGAATTATGTCCTGTAAGATCAATAATAGTTTTCCAAGTATTCCATCATTAAGGATTAAAGATGTAATTAACTAATCTAGTCTGCCTTGCATTGGCAGCCAGGGGATGGGGTAGGAGGGTATGAATGTGGTGCTTGTGGTATGAATGTTTCTGCTCAACACTCATTCATCTGCCACAGCACACTGTAGGAAGCAACAGACTGTTCCTGGCAATGTTTGCCTTTTGTTTTTTTAATGTAATAACAGACAAAAACCTATCTGAAGTGACAAGTTTGCTAATTGGAAAGCTGAGCCCCCCGCAAGGCAATTAATTACTTAAGCAGAATATCTGCAGTAAAATCACTGCCTTTTCATGAAAGCATCAGCCATGAATCATGGAATATCCTGAGCTGGAAGGGACCCACCAGGGTGATCAAAGCCCAGTTCCTGGCCTGAAACAGGATAACCCCAAGAAGGCTGTCAGGAGTGTGGGAGGAAGCAAAACTCCAGGAGTTTCAGGGAGCAGTGTTCCTTGTCCACACTGGATTCGTCTGCATGGCCAGGACTGGTTCTGCAGAGCAGCAGGATTGTCACCAGACCTGTCTTCAGAGATGTTTTATCCCACAGCTCTCCAGAGTGTGTGGGGTGTGTTTTGTGGCTCTCAGCCCATGGAAATGGTACCAAGCAGCAGAGTGTGGTCCGGCTGCAGCAGGGGTTCCTTCTGCTGCCAGCCCTAATCTGGGAGCACAGAGATGCCACATTCCTGTGTCCTGCCACTGAGCTGGAGATGCACCTCCAGCCCTGCTGGCTCATCCATCTGAGGCAGATGAAATGCTGGAGCCAAGCAGCCCAGCAGAGCTTTGTAGGCAGAGGAGACTGGAGTTGTAATCCTGCTCCTGCCACGCACTGACCTTGAGACAGAGACTGTTCTGCAGAAGGCTGTAATCCTCAGCAGCCCTGAGAGAGGCAGGCAGGTAAGAAGCTTAATTGGTGTTTGTGAGGCAGGGTGGGGATTACCTCAGAGGAGGTGTTGGAGCTTTGTGCAGGGTTGCTGTGCCCTGTGTGGGCTTGCAGGAAGCGGAAGGTCGTGGCGTGATGTCACCTGCAATTCCTGACTCAAGTCTACATTGACGTCTTTCCAAGCCTTCTCCTTCTTCCTGTCTCCTGGAGAGCTGTAATCCCTTCCTTTGTAGGGCAGCGTGTTTGCTGTGCTCCACAGCTGATCTGGGACAGGCACCTTCACACTCAGGAGCTGCTTGGGATGCAGGAGATGACAAATGGCAGAGCAGCAGACACATGACGCAGGAGAGAGTTTGCTGACCTGCTTCTTGTTGTTGTTTCTTCACACAAATGGAAAAGAAGATTTTGTCTAATGCTCTCTGCTCTGGAACCACTGAAAATGTGGTGATGCAGGAATCTCAGCATTGGAGGGTTGTGTTTCTGCAAGGTGGTTGATTAGAGCTGAAAGGGCAAGTGGAGTCAAGAGGGCTCACCTGAGAAAGTCTTTTGAGAAGCTTTGGGCTTCCTCAGGAAAGAATAATTATTTTCCCTCTTAGGCATGGGGTCCTGGAGACCAGAGGGTGCCTCCTGGCAGTTGGAGGACGAGGTAAAGTGCAGCTTTCTGGAGGAGGTGGCTGTGTTTTCTCTGTGGCTGATGACTGAGGAGGAGGCTGGCTGATTGTTTGCTGTGAAAGGGGGAGAAAAAAGGCTCAAATCTGAAACAGGGCCTTGGGACAAGAAGGACACAGAGCAAGGCAGACGTGTTTAGAGAGCACCCATGCAGTGTGTGAAGCTCTGGAAGGTGAATGCAGTGCCCACCCTCAGATCCAAAGCCTCTCCAGCTGTTGAAGTGCTGCAGTTAGTGGCCAGAGCTGCCGGGTGGAAAGAAATCACTGTGGAAGTTTTGTTTCTGGGGAAACGAAGCTGTTGTGTCATAAATCTGAGACCTAAAGCGCAGGGAACAGGTCTGACTTTCTTTGGATAAAACCCTGGAGCCATGTTCTGCCCTCTGTGGCCCCCTTGCCTCGGCCCTCACGTGCCATTGGCATGATCTGGCCAAAGGGTCCCTGCAGCTTTTTGCGTGGAACGCTGGAAGTTTGTAAGCAGACAGGGTAAGCAGCCCAGTAGCATCACTCAGGAATGTGAAATATTTCCAAGTGGCTCTTTCTAGAAGTGAAGCAGATTCCTGATGTGTGGATCATGGAGAAACTTCCCTGCTGTTCCTCGGGTCAGTGGTGGGAGGCTCTGTGGGGGTGGGAGGTCCAGCTCTCACCTTGTTGTACTTTCAGAGCTTTGCACCCTCACCCTCCTTCATTCTGCAGCTTTTATTCAAATGTTCCTTAGTAGCAGCCCGGAAAACACCAACTCCTCCATGTTTGGAGAAGGTACACCCAGCCTTTGGGGTCACAATATCACTGCCTCTCTCTGCCTGGCCTCAGGTTTTATTTCCTTTGTGATCATCCCAGATTTACTGTTAAGGCGCTGTTCCTCCTGGGACACTTCATATTCCAGCTATAGAGTCAACTTCTTTTCTTCCACCAGAGATGTTAGTCCTTCAGGGAGAGTGGCTAGAGGGGGTAAATAGTGCTTTTCCTGACATCCCAGGAGAGTGATTGAATAGTAGGAAGGCTGTGTGCCATTTGGCTTCCTGGCCCTGGTTAGGAGGATGGCAAGGGACAGGTGAGTGCCAGCCCTTTGCCCCCCCAAAGCTGGGTGCCAGTGGTTCACTGCCAGGAATAGCCTTGACCATGGAAATTTGCATTACCTGTGAGATTTCCAGAATTCAAATACTTCAAATATTTGAGGAGATAAATGGCCAGTTTGTTGAAACAACATTTTTGTGAGGTTTGCCCCAGCGAGTGCAGCCTGTGGTGTGTTGTCATTGCACCCTTGGTTCCCCATGGTGAGAGGGAATATCAGTGACACACCAAGGATGCACTTTGGAGCTGGATTTATCATTTGGGCCCTCAGCAGGAGCTGATCATGCCATGAGGAGGCAGTGGCTGGGCTGGGAGGGAGAACAGGATGCAGCTGGATGGGTGCTCCATGGAAGGACAGGCTGTGGTTGAAATGAGGGGAAGGAAAGGAAGGATCGCTGTATGAGCTCCTGCTGTCTGTGCAGTGATAGATTGGGTTGTGAAATTTGGAACATGAGTTGCAGAGGGGCAGAGGGCTACTGGGTGAAGAGGAGGAGGAGGAGGAGGAAGTGGCAGTGAGCCTTGCCCAAGGGACAGGCTGGGAGCCACTGGTCCAGTGACTGGGCTGTGGGGCAGGAAACCAGTTTCCTTCTGCAGCTCATGGGCTGTGTGACCTGCACAGGCTGCCCTACTTCCCTGTGCCTCAGGGATCAGCCAGCAGCCAGGTGAGCTCAGCACTTGCCTGCCTGTGTCAGAGCTCCCCGTGCTCAGTTCGTGCTCTGATTTCTGCCAGAGAAATCAGAAATTTCTTTCTCATCACCGAGCGGCTCCTGTGCCTTCACTGTCAGAGCTGCACGATTCCTGACAGGTTCAGGGTTAGAATCAGCAAATACAAACACTGACAGTGCTAGGGCTTTTCTCCAGAGAGCTGGGATGTTGGGCTGAGCTGCTGCCCCTGGCTGCGCTCTGCCAGCCCTGCTGTGGATGCTCCTGTAGCCAGGATCACCGAGGTGGCACTGCTGGGCATCCCTGGGCATCTCAGAGAAGGAGCCAGGGTTTCTGACGGGGGCTGGAGCTGGGAAATGGATGGCAGCACTGAGAGGTGCCTTGCTCTGGGGGATTAGTGCCCATCCTGGCTGGGGCTGCTCCTCCCCAGGCCCTATTTGGATATATGACTTAATCCAATCTGCCCAATCTGGCAGTAATGAACACGTAGAGGAGAGAATGCATTCCACCCAGGAGGAGAGGGCTCAGCCAAAAAGCTGCTAACTAGGTCACTGATGAGCAATCTTTCCCCTCCCTCTGTGTCATTTTTATTAATCACTTGAAAAATAGGTTGAGTAATGATTGCAAGCAACTTGTCAAGCCAATTAAAACCAGAGAAAGGTAGGGCTGTGAAGCCGAAGACAAATGCTGTGCTGGTTTTAAATGAGTGTCTGTAAACCCCACTGACCTGTGAGTAATTGCCTCCAAAAACCCTGGCAGCATGTGTGTTTCTCAGTGTGAAGGTTTGTTTCTTCTGCATCCACAGGGCAAACAGTTCATCGTGGCCCAGAGATGTATCACCAGAGCAAAATCACTCTGAATCTGTCCTGTAGCTGCCTTACTCTGCTTTGACTCTTAGCATGTGGACTCTCCAGTGGGGCTTGTCAAAGAGTTTAGTGCACTTTGAATGTAAAATAAAAATGCTACAGAGCACTTACTCGGTTTATTTTATGCAATTTGCCTGAATCTAAGCTCCCATAGCTTTATAATCTGCCCAGCTGGAAGATAAAGTATCAAATCTTATTTGTTGAACGGGGAAAGGAGCTTCTAGGTAATGTCACCATCGTCTCCGTTCAATGGGGTGAGTCTCCCCAGAGTGGATTCTCCAGGACCATTCAGCAAATGCAGCACTGGGCTTGTTTTGGTTTATTTTTACGTGTCGGATGGATGGTGTGTGTGCCAACAATAAATATTTATACTCCTGCATTCCTCTGCCTCTCTATCTGTGTTTTGTCTCCTGTGAGATGCGTGCCAGCCCTGTGGGTGCAATGAGACAACATTACTCTTTGGGAGGCTGCTGTAGTGTGTGAGATCCTGCTGTCCAGGATGTTTCTTCCCATCTGTTCCTGGCTCAAATCCCCTTCTCCTCAATTTTAGTCGCCACTTTTGGTTACCATTCATAGCCTGAAATGTGATATTAAGGGGAAGAATACAAATATGTCCTGCTGCCTTCCTTCTCCTGCTGCTGCTCTGTCAGCTGGGCGGCAATAACAAAAGGCAATTAGTGACACAAATAAGCTTTCCTGGGGGTAGCTGAGAGCAGCCTTTCTCTGGAACTATTTGTGGCACAAATGGAAAAACACGTGCTTCCCTTCTGCCTGAAAGGAGCAGCAGCCCAGGGAGGGAGGGGTGGATCAGTAACCTGCCATCTCTTCAGCAGTGGCTCTTGTTTTGTAGCACCTCTGAAACCTCAGGGTGGAGAAGGGTACAGGGAGCACAGAACAGAAGTTTTGTTTTTTGCTGGTGCAAAACTTGTTTAAAGCCTCCTGCACTTGCCAAGAAATCAAATAAAGCCATGATTTGCCCCCATTCCATCCTGGAGAGCTTTCCCTTCTTTCTGTAACTCTGCTGTAGCCATCACACAATCAAACCTCCTCTTTTCAGTCTCCTTTCTTTCCTCCCTGTGCAAGTTTTTGGGTTTTCCCTGTGGGAAGCAGCCCTGAGCCTGAGCCCACCTGTGTTTCTGCCCTCCAGAGTTAATGAGCTCTACGTGGATGACCCAGACAAAGACAGTGGAGGGAAAATAGAAGTGAACCTGAACATCAGTTTGCCAAACCTGCACTGTGAATGTGAGTACCCCTTCACTTAGCAGCTTTTCTTTGTGCTTTGAGTAATACTTGAAATGGGCCCAGACTGGTACAGTGGCCCTTCCTCTGTAACAGGATGGAAATAAGTAGCTGCAGCCTCTGCCAATACCCCATTGCTTTCTGTTCCAGGCCAGGGCACCTGTTTTCTTGGACCATGTGGTTGATCTCCGTCACTGGCTTCTTTCTGAATCTCATTTCCTTTCTTTTTTTTTATTTTATTTATTGTTTAATAGCAACCTTTTTGTGTCTGGGAGCAAGAAACCTCCCAAGCTCCATTTGGAACTCTGAATGCCCCAGCTGGTTGTTGGCTCTTCCCAGGTCACCTGCCTTGTCTGCCTGAAGTTGTTCTTTTTGTGTGGTTGGGGTGCAGGCAGCTGGCAGGACTTGGGAGGTGTATTTGTGTAAAATAGACAGTGTGAAAAGTTTGGTTGCAAAGCTTTTCTGCTATAACAATTTTTGACAAAGGGCATTATCACCTCAGTTTAGTCAAGTGTCAGGAAAAAAGGTGTGGATTTTTTTCAAGTAAAACCAATACATACTTTTCCTATGCAACCTTCCTATTTCTTAATTTAATTTTTTAAAAAAATTATCTTTTCCCTCCCACTCCTGCAGTGGTTGGACTGGACATCCAGGATGAAATGGGAAGGCATGAAGTGGGTCACATTGACAACTCGATGAAGATCCCTCTCAATAATGGGGATGGCTGCAGGTTTGAGGGCCATTTCAGCATCAACAAGGTGAGTGGCACTGACAGTGACAGTGACAGGGGGTGAGCGTGTGCTGGCTGGGGAAATGATGGCAGGATCCATTTGTGAAAAGGAACATTTGGAAATCTCTCTCTCCTGCTGTGTTGTGTGTGTTTATGGCCCTGTTCAGACAGAAGTTCAAGTCAGTGTGGGGAGAGGAGGCTGCATGGCCAGACCCACAGGGAATGTGTTAGATCAGGGGTTTGCTTCACTCTCCAGAGCAGGTAATGGAGACAGAAATGCTGATCAGCTCTGTGCAGCAGCCCCATGTCCAGGGGATGTGTGAGAACCCCACAGATGCCAAAGGGCTCCTGTGTTTGCTCCTCACGACTTCTGCACCTCCAAGCCCTGACTCAGTGTGGAGAGGTCTCTGGCAGTGGCCGCATCCCAGCTCTGCTTTGTTCTGAGAGCTGCAGAATGGCAGGAATGTTCCCTGGCATTCTGGAGGGTGCCAGGCTCCTGCAGGGATGTTTGGAATACAGCACGTGGCGCCACACATGCTTGCTGGGGATGCTCTGCTTCTGGCTCAAGGAATGAAAATCCAGGCCTGGAGGAGGCTCCTCTTTGGGATGGGTGTGTTCAAGATTGAATAATCTTGCTATGTAATGCTGGAGATGACTTGCTGGGGTGGGGGAGGCACTGGTGGGACCCAGAGATGTCCTAAGAAGGGCACACCCTTTATTCACTCCTCTTGGTGTACCACAGGCTACAAAATCCTCCTGCCTTCTTTTCCTCCCAGGTCGTGCTAAAGCACATCTAAAAATAACAGACAGCACCTCTTGCTGATTCTGTGGCATGGAAAGGATTGGGGATTTGAAAAGAGGACTTCTTCCTCATCTCCAGGCCACCAGGATGGCTGGCAGCTGGTAGTCCACAAAACTGGGAAAGAGCTTCTGGAAAGTTCTTGTCCAGACAATCCCCAGAGCACACAGAGCTGAGGTAGCTGGGGGTTTGTGTGCTGGATGTGGTGTGTCCTGCTCGCCAAGGGGGCAGAATGTGGCACTGAGGAGCTTCCTGCACTGCTCATTTGTGTCTCATTTAGTGCCTGGGAGGGGAGGGGAGCTGGCCCAGGGCTTGTGGCTCTGGAAGCCCAAATCTCCTGTGCGTGACCTGGCACTCTGCAGTGCCTTGGCAGGAATTGGACAGGCTGGGAGCTGCAGTGGGACCTGGCCAGCCCTGGGAACTGACCAGGGCTTGCATTTGGGTGTTGCTGTCCCAGCTGCTGAGGGAGCACAGGGTGACAGTGTGAGATGATGGTTTATGCTGCTTGCTGCAGGCCCTGACGCCCTGTTTGCTCAGCTTGTTTATGACACTGCTGGTGCCCACACCTGAAAGTGCTCCCAGGAGAGCACTGCTGTTCCTCAGGTCATTAAATCAGCTTTCCTGAAAGCACATGGAAGGGCATGTGGCCTCCCGTGGCCCTGCTGGTGAGGTGTGTGTGCAGAGAGCAGCTGGGCAGCAGTTGTATAACCACCCTCCCACTCCTGCCCTGGGCTGTGCCACATTGCTCCTCAGGGTTGCTGCATTTCACAACCTTTTCTCAATAGGAAAATATTCTTGCATCCTCCATGTCAGTGATTGAGCTGAATCTGCTGAAGGACTTCAGGGCTAGTGACCTGAAAAGTGCATGCATGCAGAGTGGTGCCAGCAGAGAGACACCAGGGCTCATTTTCTGTCTTGGAACTGAGCCTTTAGGTGAAACTTGTGCTTTTCAGTTCTTTGTATTTCCCTCCATTAAAAAAATTTAAAGGAAGGGCCCCTGCTAGCTTCTGCCAAGGAGAAGATCTAGGTTAGTTTGTATGGGATGCCCACGTGGGTTTGGTGGTGGATTTTCTCTTTATATAAAACTCATTCCTGCACACAATCTCAGAGGTAAAGTTGCTCATGACTGGTACCAGAAGAGAAATACATCCCCAGCTCCCTGGGCTGCTCTGCAGCAGTGGGCCCCTTTGCAAATGCCAGATGTGGGAGTAAGACATTGAGCAAGAGAGACAGGAATTTTATTTTAATAGGGATGAAAGACATAGCCCTAAGTGCTGGGGATCCCTGGAGCTGGGAGTGACCCACTCCTCATCCCCTGGTCAGGACCATCAGCAGTGTGGGGTGCCAGACTCCGGGCTGCAGGATTTGGGTGCAATGGTGTTGGTCAGCTGCAGGAAGGTATCACGGATTCTCCCATCTTCCTGGATGAATCCAGGCATTCCCATGTCACACCACAGAGCCTGGCAATGCCTTGAGGGGTAAAATGTGAAATCCTGTCTTCCCTGTCGTGGCTAATTTTAGGTCCCTGGTAACTTCCATGTGTCGACGCACAGCGCGACGGCGCAGCCGCAGAACCCCGACATGACTCACGTCATCCACAAGCTCTCATTTGGGGACAAGCTGCAGGTGAGTCCTGAGACTTCCCTGGCTCTAGGGGAATGCAGTGAGAGTGGTTTGATGTTAGACACTTCGGTTTTATGGAAGGCCTGGGTGTCCCTGCAATGTAAGCTCAAGGCTGGAGGAGTTCACAGCTGCCACCAGCTGGGGCAGGAGCAGTGTCCAGGCACAGAGCAACTGTGCTGTGTTCTTCTGAAACTCAAAGTGTTTCAGTGAGTTTCAGTGAGTTTTCTTTTGGAAAACTCTGTGGAGAGAGTTAGAAATGAGGGCTTGTGGCTCAGCAAAATCCTGGTTTTAGCATGAGCACAGCAAACAAACCCTTCTGCCTTTGTGGAGCAGCAGTGATGCACTCAGGGAAGATGTGTGCTGGCTACTGTGCTCACCACAGCAGCAGTCAAGCTCTTTTTAATTCACTTCATTCTGCTTATATAGCAGACACCCATTAGTCAAATTTGCTCTGTGAAACACAAGTTAGACTTAGCACTGCCAGTTCCCTGCTGGGAAGAAGCTGAATGCATGCACTTGCCTGGTGGATAGAATTTCACCAGGTGCTGCAAGTTATGTAATATTACCTGATTTCTCAATAAGGACAGATTACAGCACTAGCCTACTTCCAAGGAGCTGCCCTCACAGGTGGGAGTTCCACATGTGCACACCCAGCTTGAGACTCACCCTAAACGTTGCTTAGCCTTAGCCTCTCTGTAATCTTCTTTCCTCAGCACAGACGTCTCATTAGTCTGCTCCTTGTACACCCACTTCCAAAGCCCTTTTTCATGCTAACAAGTCTAAGCGTTGCTTTGTAGTCTTCTGGTTCTGCTCCCGCCTCCTTTTAGGAATGATCTTGTGTGGGAACCAGGAAATATTAGCGTATAAATAAGCTTGGCTTAATGTCTGTGAAGCACACTGAGATTATGAAAAATAGGGGGTGAGTGGTAATGGGGAGCTGTGCAGCCTGCGTGGGAAATGGGTGCTCTGAGGGAGCATTCCCATTGTTTTATCATGGAGCAGCTGGAGTGTGAATCAGCATGGAGGAGGAGCCTGGAGAGACAAGCAGCAAAGTGCCTTCAGTTCTTGTGGTGAGAAACCTGTCTGGCAAACGTGGAGTTGGCTCCTGGCTGGGGCAAGTGGAGTATTTTCAGAGCTGAGGATGAGTGCTCGTGGTCTGAGGTGCTGCAGGCGAGCAGCAGCTCAGCAGCACAAATTAAAGAAGGATATCTTCACCAAACAGGTGCTACCACGACTCAGCAAGTGTGGGGAGCTTTCAATCTGCCTAGCTGCACCTTTGAATATTTCAGGTTGTCTCCACCTGCTTTGATGTAATAAAAGCTTATATTCCTTACAGAGGGTGAGGAGCTCCTCATTCACTTGTGTCATGTGCTGGGAGTTTGTTCTGTGTGGGATCACTGACTCTGCCACAGTGATCCACTGAGGGACAGGCTGTGTTCTCCAGAAAAACCAGTCTCTCTGAAGCAGAGATTTAAATATCATCTGGCACTGAATGAGCTTTGAGTCCTCATCAGGACTTTGTGCACAATAGTGGCAGACTTCCTGCAGATTTTTCATCCTCATTTAGATGAGATCAGAATTGAAACCTGCAGAATTAAAACTCATGCAGTGAGTTCTGCATGTCAGGTAACCCAGGAAGGAGAGGGATGAGGAGAGTAAGAGATGATGCCTTTTTACTGTCAGGGGTGGACAACTCTCCTGACAAGGTTAAAGCCAGGATTATTCAACACCATAATGTAGAAATTATGATTAAAAATGCAACATCTCCTATTTCCACGTCTCTCTTTTACTGAGTTACCTGACAGCTGGAGGTAGGAACTCATTGGTTTGAATTTTGGTCTTTTGGATGAGGGGAAAATCCACCAGAATTTTGAAGTGGACCTTAAAGTCTCTGGTGCAGATATTCAGTAAGAGACTTGTTAGCTGTATCAAGAATGGAACACCACACTGTAGTCCACTCCGGGGGCTTCTTTTTCTTCTTATGCCTTTTACAGTGAGTGAAGAATGAGCACAGGCTGCAGATGTAGTGTGGGAATGGTGGTGGTTGTGTGAAATTCCAGCAGAGCAGAAGGCCTTGCCGCAGGATCAGCTGCTGCTTTTGCTCTGCTCCTGCTCCCAGCACCTTCCAGTTGAGTTTGCTGGGATTTTGTCTGTCCAGAATTTCCTTTCTGCTGAGCAGAACTGGTTCACTTGCTGCTTCCCCCCTCATCCACTCTGCAGTGCTGGGACCAGGGAAATGTCCATGAGGAACAGTCCATGAGGATGAGACAGACACATGTTGAGAGGGTCTGGGAAGGAGATGGCATTGCCCTGTTGGTGAGGTGAAACTGTCACACCCCTGACCAAATCCTCCCTCCAAACTCTTCTTCCCTGTTGTCTGACTGAAGGTCAGGAATTTCTGGGTTGTGGAGTTCTGTGTCCTTTCTTTGTGCCTTGTGAGCAGCACAACCCCTGACCTGCAGCTGCTGCCGTGGGCTTTTCCCTGCCTGGAGAGATCACACATGGATGATTCTGCTGCTGGAGATCAGACTCCAGGTCACAGCCTGTGCAGGGCATGGAAGTGCTGTTATTGTGGGCAAACAGATACTCACAGGTCTGAAACCAGCTGCAGGAAAAGCTGAAGGGAGGTCAGTGTTGGGATGTGTCCTTCCATCAGCCATCTCCAAGGCTGATGAGTTGTACAGACCCAGCTGCCCTGACACCAGCCACCTTTGGAGGAGAAAACTGCTGAGTTTTAACCCCACTGTGACTCCCATCTATTTCCCTTTCAGCCTGATAAAATTAATTTCACAGTTACCTCTGCAAAGCTCTTAGGAAATAGCTCACGGTGAAAATTTCACAACTGGCCTCTTCCAACTGCAATTCCTTTAGCTTCGGAGTGGTTTTGGAGTTTCATCTTGTAAGATGTTGTGAAATCAGCTTTTTCACTTGGAGCCAGCCACTGTGATGATGGTCACTGAAAAATATTTGGGGTCATCTTTCACTGAGTTGAGGCTTTGTTTTTTGGAAGGGTTGAATCAGGCTGGTTACAGGGTAGGGAAGCAAAGGTCAAGAGTATCAAGTCAGAGCAGAGTTTCTTCATCCTCCTTTTTGCTTTCCAGGTCCATAACGTCCACGGAGCATTCAATGCCTTGGAGGGAGCAGACAAGCTCAGCTCAAACCGTGGGTATTCCTGGCACTGCAGCTCTCAGCCACCCTCTGCAGGAGGGAAGGCAGGGCCATTCATGCAACACTGCTGTATCCAGTGTGTTTCATTTGCTTCTTTAGCCAAAATCATCCAGACATTGCTGGCTGACATTTCCATTTCCTCCAGTGCTTAGCCCAAAAGGTCCTTTGCAGTCCTTGTGGAGTTTTTTATCCATATGCTGTTCCTGTAGTGTCCCTCTGCTGCTGTTACTTCCACCAGAACTTTGCCTTGTACTTGTTGCAAATTACCTGGAAATTTCTGCTCTGTGGATGGCAAGAGGGACATTTTCATGGCCCAGCACAAAAAGGAAAATTCAATGCATGCTACAGTTCAGTGTAGAGAGTTGTCTCTTAAATGTTCAGGCTCCTCCAGGACATCACTCCTGTCCATTCCTTGGAACAAAATTTCTGTGGCTGTTCCTGAAGCTATACAGTTGTGGTTTGGGTTTTTTTTTTTTACCTCCAGAAGCCAAATGTCATCGTGTTACGCTTGGCTAGAGGATCCTTCAGAGATGCCATTTAGAATTCTGTTTCTGAACTGTTTTAGAAGACACAAAAACGAGAACGAGCCATTTAAATAATGAAAAAAAAAAAGTTAAGCAGCTGTGGGAGAAGGAGGATGAGAAAGCAAGAAAGAAACGGTAGTACACAGGTTGTGATACCTCAGAGTTTTTAGTCAAAATTCTCTCAGTGGGCTGCAGCCCTAACCTCAGCCAGTTCCTGCTTTAACCAGGCTGTTTGTGTGGTGATGAAAGTGTTGCCATTTATAGTTGCAGGCAGTTAGGAAGGTTGGAGGAACCCAAACCTTGGGTGGGTTGTGGTCCTGCAGAAGGTGTGGGCGGCTCCTGGTGTCACCCAAGCAGAGCTCTGAGCAAAGGGCACAAACGTGGCATGTGAAGCTTTGTCCCTGAGATAAGGAGGAGGGAGTCTCCCTTTTTTGTGACTTGTTCTGTGGGCTGGCTCCTTTCTCTCAGTGCTAACATGTCCTTCCCTTCCTCCCCTGAGCACAGCCCTTGCCTCTCACGACTACATCCTGAAGATCGTGCCCACGGTGTACGAGGACATGAGCGGCAAGCAGCGATACTCCTACCAGTACACCGTGGCCAACAAGGTAAAGCAGCAGCAGCCTCTGCACCCACGGGCTCCTCTCTGCACCCCAGGGGATGCTCAGCCACCGGTCCTGCTCTCCCCGTGCCCTGTGGGTTTGTAGGTGAGCAGTAGCCTCTGCTGGGAGAAGGAGGAACTGAAGCTGCTCGCAGTGGGGCTTTTCCTGCTGCTGGAGTCTGCCAAGCTTGGGCTTGGGAGGGTTTGTCAGAGCAGGTGCTGGTGGTGCTTTCATTCCTGTTCTTCCTCCTGGCGTGCTCACCTGTCAGTTTAGCTGATGAGGATTTCTGTGAGTTGTGTGGGAGGTGTTTACAGGCTGCAGGAGCTCCTGTTGTGCCTGGCAAGGTGCATCTGAATGGAAACGAATCCAGCTGAGCACATAAAACATCACTTAAACCTGGTTTTAGCAACTAAACAGTCTCAGTTGTGATGGATGGGTGAGACAAATAAATCAGCAGAGTTTTTAGCTTTTTACAAATGTTTATTTCAGATATTAAGTCACTGAACTGAAGCAGCAAATATGGTGGTGGTTGAGTATTTCACAGTCCCTGCATTATGATAGTGAAGTATCACAGAATCCATTAGTTTAGAAAACATTCAAGATCACCAAATCCTATCAGTGACCAATTCCCACTTATCACCCAGCCCAGAGCATGAGTGCCACATCCAGTATTTTAATAATTCAATGTACTGAATTTTTTTGAGGGGAAAAAAAGAACCCTATTTACTTTTTACAATAAAAAGCATCTTCCAGTTGAAAATTATTTGCCATTTTGGTGCTAAATGAAAGTCCAAAATCTGTTTGTAATGTCTAATTACTTCTAGTTTGCCCTAAGTGATAATTAGGCACACACTCTCCCGGACCATTTCTCAGTTAATGTTCCTGACTGGTGACTTTGGGCTTGCTTGTGTGGTGTGTCCCAGGGATTTGGACATCTCCCTCTGTTCAGATTACAGTGTATTTGTTCTGCTTAATGTCACAACTGCTGTTCTGATAAGACTCCTGTGACAGGAGTTCTGAAAGTAATTTGGAAAGTAGCAGGAGCTTTTGACACTTCTGTGAGCTTGGCTGCAGACTGGGGCGTTGAGCCAAGTCTGACTCATTAGGGCAGGAGGGCTGGTGGGGAGAAGGGGACAGGAGGGAAAAAATGAGGTCAGTTCTGTCAAAACTGAGGTGCTGAGAAGCACAGCTGTGCTTTCTGCTCAGGGTGCTTCCATCCTTCACTCCACACTGAGCAGTGGGAAAGGGAAATGGGAAGCCCCTGGACCAGTCTGGCACAGAGAGGCTGCTCTGAGGGTCTGAAGGGTACAAACTCTGTCTCCTCTCTTAGCTCCTCTGTTTCCTCCCTTCCCACAGTCCCAAAGTGAGCTGCAGAACTCCAGTAAAAGCCTGAAAATGTCACGACTGGGGACTTCTGCTTCTCTTGTCATCATGGGATGAACCACCTAAAAATAGGGGAATTTGGGATTTATTTAAGATGATTGAAGATAAATACTGCCTCACCAGCACACGGAGAGCAAAATTAATTTTTTTGTGTGTGTCATGCTCACATGAATCCTGTTGCTTGCTCTTTTTTTGTTTTTCTGAAGAACTTGAGGCTGTCTTTGCCTGTTTGTGAAGGAGAATTGCCCAGGAGAGGAGATGTGAGCTGGCAGCTTGTCCCCGGGCTGAGGGAGGGAGAGGCAGCCTGTGCCACACTGGGCTCTCCTTGGACTCTGGGTCCCAGCCTGCTTTCCTGGGATTTCTCTTCACCCTGTGAATGTCTGAAAAGTGATTCCTGTCTCCACTGCCAGCACAGGCAAAATACTATCTCAGGAAGATGTGGCTTTAGTTACCAATTTAGTGCTGGTACTGAGCAGTGTGTCCTGCTGGGTGCTGTCCTGTGGCTGGACCTGTTAGAAACAAATGGATTAAAGGAGAGTGCCACTGGAAATCTGGAATGTGTCTCTCCCAAAGCAGCCTGGGATATTTTTTGAACCTTTGCTAATACTTTTCTGTATACAGTTTCATCCTGGCTTTCAGGAGTTTTAAATGTGCCTTGAACATGGTTCCACATGATTCATACTAAGAGGGCAAAGCATTCCCATTGGGGAGGGGGCCTGACAGAGCAATGCAAGGACAAGGAGGGGTTTTCAGGCTCTTACAAACTAAATTCCATCTGTTTGGTGAATTATTTATGTACAAAATATAGACATACATGTGATTTACAGAACCAAAACTTCACCTGCAGCCAGGCTGTTTGTACTGAAATAGAGCAGTTCTAGGATGGAGAATCAATGACAGCCTTTCTGTTTAGTCCTGTAACTCTGAATGAAGGTGAGAGTAATCACCATCACTCTGTCCCCTTAGCTCTTTCATTATCAGGCTGGAAGGAGATTGTTTTCCTTTCTGATAAGGATGGGAGGTGAGCACTCACACTGGAATTCACTGTTTGCTTCTTTCCATCTGGTCACTGCTATAAAACACTGGGGTGAAGGCCAAACCCACGGGGGCAGTTTTCTGGCAGACACTCTCTGGAATGGGTTTACTTACATTTTGTGCCATTTTCCCCTTTTTTTGCCCCGTTTTTCCCCAGGAATACGTGGCCTACAGCCACACGGGCCGCATCATCCCGGCCATCTGGTTCCGCTACGACCTGAGCCCCATCACAGTGAAGTACACAGAGAGGAGACAGCCTCTGTACAGGTTCATCACATCGGTGAGTCACCCCAGCCTCTCCTTCTCCCGTCCCCTGCCTGCCTTTCATGGCCCTCCTGAGCCTCTCTTGCCCACAGGAGTTGGGTTTCTGCCTCAGGGCAGTGTGATGTGGGGATACAGCAGCGCATCACTGGGGTGCTGCTGGACTGGGAGGTGACTCCAGTGCTCTGACAATTTGATTTAATAGCTGGGCACAAAAAGAAGGGAAATGAACCCATTCCAGAAGGACCAGGCTCTGTCCAGGCAGGATGGGCTCTCTTGCAGCATGTCAGAAGCTTGGAAGTAAAGCTGAAAACTGCAATAAACTGCTCAGTAATGATGAGATCAAATGTGCAGAGAATCTAGAGTAGTTTGGATTGAAAGAACCTTAAACCTCATCCCATCCCACCCCCTGCCATGGCAGGGGCACCTTCCACTGTCCCAGGGTGCTCCAAACCCTGTCCAACCTGGCCTGGGACACTTTGAGGGATCCAGGGGCAGCCACAGCTGCTCTGGGCACCCCCACCCTTTTCCTCCCAAAGTCACCCTGGTCTCTCCAGAGGGTTTTCCTTTGTTCCAGTGAGGGAAGGAGAACTGTTAGATGACACAGAGCTGCTTGTCCTTGCCATCTGCTGGTATTTGGGTGATTTTTACAGTAAATAGGAAGAAAACTGGCAGTGGAGATTTTATCAGCAGCCGCTTCTCTCCTCTCCTACAAGACACTGATTATTTTTTTTTACACTGAGTTTTACTCATTGCTGCTGCTTGGCTTAATAAGGAGTGCCAGTTGCAGGTATTTACTCCTGAGCAGAAGTGGAAAAGAGCTGCATTATCAAATTCCAGAGGTGTTTTCCTGACGAGTTACATTTGAATGTGTCCAGAGAGCATCCTGCAGTCCTGATCTCAGCATCCAGAACAAAGCTGTGCTGGCAAAACTGCTCATTAGGCAAAGAGCTATTTAAAGATCCTCCAGAACTTTAAAAAAAAAAAGTGTCTTCAGGGAGTTGGCTTAAAATTGGAGCTGCAGTGAGCTGTGCCAGTGAGCATGGTGGAATGTGAAGCACTTGATAAATTGGCTGCAGTGAAGACCTCAAATTCTGATTTTTAAACTGTTTGACTGTTTTAATTGGAATTCACATAAACAGCGTGGTGGAGTTGCACTTCAAGATTTTGATTTTGCAACTTTTGATAAACAGCAAGTTCCCTTCACGGAACTTTAGACAGTGAATAGAATACACAAATAACCAGATAAGGGGGCTTGAAGTAAAACCTAAATGTCATGGTGAAAGACTTTCTCTTCTTAGCACATCCACTTGGCTTCAAAAAATAATCCTAAAAAAGGTCAAACATCAGCATTTCACGACTTGGCATCTCATTCTGCTTCTTTCCCTAAAATTGTGCTCCCAGAAGTTTCTTACACATCACGTTGGGGGTGAGGATGTGGAGGTGTTTTCATGGGAAATGATTTGATAGCTGGGATTATTCTTTAATTTGATTGTCAGCATTGATTCACTGCTGATCTGCCATTGTATGCCTATAAAAAGCACCTTTTTTGAATGGTATCCTGTTTCTGAGGATAAGCCTGAGGAGCACAGTCATGTGTCTGACATTGCCTTTGTGTCACCGTGCTGGCAGCCCTGCCTCCTCCTGTGCATCCACTGGTGTTTGCCTTTAGGCACCAGCCTGCATCCCGCTCTGCTGTGATCCCTTCTGTTCAGAGTGCAGGGAAGGGGCTCAGGGTGCATTCCCCATGTCCAGAGAGCTCTCACTGCTGGGATTATTCCCCTTCTGTGTCTCCTTCTGTGACAGACATCTTTTCATGAAAAATCCCTTCCTTAGGATTTTTCCTCCTGAGAAGCTGAGAGGCCTCAGGAACAAAATGTAAACATTGATTATCTGCTGCTGTGGAATGCAACAGGTGCATCTGTGATTGGTCTCATGTGGTTGTTTCTAATTAATGGCCAATCACAGTCAGCTGGCTCAGACTCTGTCCGAGACAGAAGCTTTTGTTATTCATTCTTTCTGATTCTATTCCTAGCTTAGCCAGCTTTCTGATGAAACCTTTTCTTCTATTCTTTTAGTATAGTTTTAATGTAATATATATAATAAAATAATAAATCAGCCTTCTGAAACATGGAGTCAGATCCTCATCTCTCCCCTATCCAAGAACCCCTGTGAACACCTCACATCCTTCCCTTCATCCTTTCATGGCTGGGCCTGACCCCACAGACCTCATGGAGCTAAGGGCAGATCCCTACCAATAACTCATCCCATTAAACCCAGGGAAGTGCCTGATCCCTGCCTGTACGTGTCGGAGCTGTGCTGATCCAGGAACATTTGGTGCAGCTCCTGTGCTGACCTGGAGCCCAGCGCTGCTCACAAGCCCTCCAAGCCCTTTTTTCGTCACCAGTTCTCAGAGCTGTGTGTGCAGGAGGCCCCAGTGCCAGGTGCGTGTGACTCATCCCCACTCAGCACTACAGAGCTCTGCAGATGAATTTATTTATATTTTTTTTTTCTATTCCCCAGCCCCTTGTGCTGCTGCACTGAAGTCAGATTTTCCTGCCTGTGATGCAGGATCTGCGTGTTGGACGGGGTTTGTGTTTGTGGTGTGCCATCTCCCGTCAGCTGAGCTGCTCTGATGAAACAACCCAGCTCCATGGTGGGCATTGCCCTGGGGAGCCACCCTGTGCCACACCCCAGGGCACAGCAGGGAGGGGGTACAGCAGCAGGAGCTGGATTGTCCCCTAAAAACCCTGACTTTGCCTCAGGCTGGTGCTCTGGTGTTAGCAGCCTGGATCTGCTGGAATGCTGAGTGTCCTGCACAATCCCCATTTCTGCAGCTCCTTGTCTTACTGAGCTCACTGAATGTTCAAATCTGGGTAATAAATGCACATGGTAAGGAGCTGGAGCTCTCAGTGCCTTTGCTCACCCTTGATGAGCTGTTTGTTCCTTCCCCTCAGCGCTGCTGCTGCTGCTCCTACGTTGGTTTTTGTCTCTGACTTTGCCCATGGGGAGCTGTGTGGGAGCAGAGACGTGGCAGGCTGTGTGTAGTGTGGCACCAGTTCCCTTCTGGGCCTGCTGTGTTGCACTTTTATAATGTTTATCATGGAATTATTTAGGTTGGAAAAGATTGCAAGGCCACCGAGTCCCAGCTGTGCCCAATCCCCACCTTGTCCCCAGCCCACAGCACTCAGTGCCACCTCCAGGGATGGGGATCCAACCCTCCCTGGGCAGTTCCAGTGCCTGAGCAAAAAAAAAAAATTGGTTTTTATGTTGTGTAGGATGGGGTGGTTCTGAGAATAACAACAGGGTTGTGAGAAGGGGAGCAGGAAATGGAGCTTATCTCCTGACAAGGGCCTGCCTGGGAAAAAGGGGATTTGCTATGAGCTAGGAGCTGAAGGAGAGAGCAATCCCAAACCAGTGAGCCATTGTGGCAAGGAAATATTTTGTATTGTTGGTCTCCTTCAGCCTAAATGTCTGTGATTCTATTTCCACAAAGACTCTGGTTTGACAGAACACACAGAATATTTCTGTGTTTTTGTAGCACTTGAGAAGTGAAGTAAGCTGTTGAAGCTAATCAAGAGATCAATTTTTTCCCTAATTCTGTTCTTGGAAGTAATTACATGTTTTAATTCGACCCAAGATCCACATCTTGTGTGGAAAACTCTGTCCCACAAAGAGTTAAGCTGGCTGCTGTGAGCAGCCCTTGTCATGGAAAGTGTTAGGCAGGGCTGTGGTGTCACTGTCAGCTGGGTTTCTCTGTTACTCACTGCCCTTCACGTGCTATTTCAGAGCCTTCTGCCTGTTTGTAAATTATCTTGTGAAATGGGGAAAAGGGCTACAAGACTGGTGTTTATGACAGAAAACAGTATAGGAAGATGTGAGCAACACAGAATTTCTAGAAATCTGAATTAGGTGGAGTTCAGCCCTTGCAGGAACACTGTGCTGTGGGAGCTGGGATTTGTGATGGTCAGGCTGTGAGGAGTTCAGCACTCATTTATTCCACTGCAGGGAATGGTTTTTGTGAATGATCCTCACGGAATTCCATCCCCAGAGCTGTCACCCACTCCTTGCTGTGCTTCCAGCAAAGAGCCCAGCAGCAGGACCCCTCCTGCAGCCCAAGCTGTGTGAAAGTTCCCCTCGTTGTTGACAAAAGTGTTTGTCTGTCTGTAATTGCAGATATGTGCCATCATTGGAGGAACATTTACTGTAGCTGGGATCCTGGACTCCTGCATTTTCACAGCATCAGAGGCCTGGAAGAAGATCCAGCTGGGCAAAATGCAGTAGCAGTGAAACTCTACCCTCGACTCCAAGGACAGGAGCAAATATTGACAAATCTACCACTACCTGTTTTTGTCTTTATTTTCTATTTGATTGAATCAGTATGTTTTTCTCTAATCAGGCTGGTCAGCGAAGACATCTTCAACAAATCAAAGAAATCTCCGTGCATTTCAGAGCTCTGAGAGGGAAAAATCAGTGGAATCAGGGTGTGGATTTCCTCCCCCCAGAGAGAGAGGTTGAAATGCCATTCGAGATCCAAGTGAGGATGGCAGTCTGTCCTCTGGCACGTTCCTATGGCAGTGTACAAACTAGGGAGTAGATGGCAAAGAGCTGAACTGTCTTGTGGCACTTTTTGGAGTTCTGTTGGATTTGCATGATCAGACAATCGACTTTTGCATAGGGCAAAATTACACATGAGGAAGAAATTCCACCCGTGGTGCCAAAAAGGTGATGTATCTGTTGGTGAGGAGTGGAAAGTGTTAGTCCCCACAGCAAACCTAAGAGACAGAGGGCAGAAATAACACCAAGAAATGTTTTGTGCTTCTATTGAAAGCTCAGTTGTTCAGATACAACCTTCCTAACCAAGTGAAAAAAGAACAGGAAGCCTTCCCCAGCTACCTTTTCCTAGGTGATCTGTGATCCCAGCAGTGGAGGGCATTTCTTTCACTCTGGATGTAAAAGTGGTTTCATTCCTTCCCACTAACTGAATATCCAGTCTTGTGTTTACAGGTGGCATGAAGTAAAAACCAAACTGAGCAACACAGTTTTATGTGGCCTTTGCTTTGAAAGGGAATAGTTGTCTTTGCAGCATTAGCTTTTCTTTCTTCTGTTTCAAACCCAAAAGTCTGGATTCTGCACTTCTGCTTTATTATTGTTGTTGTTGTTTTCTTTTGAAAAGAGGTTTTATATTCTCTGTGCTCAGAAAAACGGTGCAGCCCTCTGGGTGGATGAGCACAGCTTCCTCTCTTGCTCTGTGTGTGTGTATTCAATACACCTGTCAAACACAGGAATTCTGACTTTGCAGGATTTAAGCTGCCTCCCTTTTCGTTTAAAACTCAGCCAGGCATCTTTCCTGATGCTCTCCCACAGGTACCCAGGGCAGCATTCCCACAGGCTGACCCTTGCTGGGAGTTCTGTTTGATCCCTTCAAAAGATTCCTGAGCTTCCCTGTCCTTTCCTTCAAGCCTTGTCTTCTGGAGCCTCCAAAACACAGAGCTGTGAGGGGAAAACTCCTGCCGGGGGTGTCTTGCTTGTCATTTGGTCTCAAAAATGAGAGCAGATGCCCACCAGTGCATTTTCCAGAGCCTCATCAGTGTTCCTTGAGTAGTGACAGTCTCTGCATGCCTTGTGAATGTCTGAGCTGAGGATACACAAATTTTAAGTCTTTCAGGATGGATTAAACAATAATAATCATAAAATGAGAGTCTTGAACTCAGTGCTGTAAATTGTAAGATGGGTGCAGGGTTTCTCTTGGATGATATCCATTGCCTTTTCCTGGAGGCAAAATATCCAGACTTTATGCTGTGATGATATGAATTGTTGAATATTCAGTGTTATTGTTAGAGTCAGATGCATTTCAGAAGAATTCGTGATTGTTGAAATTGTCTCCTTGCTTTGGGAGCAGGGAAGGTGCTGCCAGTTTTACCCACCCCCCAAAAAGCAGCAGCCAGCTCCTCTCCCCCTGCCATGCCATGCCCTGCAGTCACTTCAGACACCGTTGGAATCTTGGAATTTTTCCCTGTCCTTCTCTGGACTGATTGCTCTTGCTTTAGGTGCAAACTGGATTGTGGAACTTCCTGTACCCGTTCATGTATGGGTAGATTTTTTTTACTTTTTATTTTCCCCCCATTTACAAAAATGAACTTTTTCAGTGAGATGCTTGTGTTCACCTGGGTGTGTGTGTCCCTGTGCCTGTGAGTGGGACCCCCTGGATGAGGGATTTTCCATGGCAATTGCTTCTCCTGCTGGCTGAAGGATTTCCTCTAATCCACTGTGACCAGCTGAAACTCACAGCTAAAATATCCTCATTTTTCCTTTTGGATTTGGTCAGTCTTTGCTGACAGCTTGGGAACAGTGGATTACAACAATGAGATTTTTAATATTTTAGCATCTTCCTTACACTGAGATTTAATTAGTGCATCCTTCTCCTGAGCTGGGCAAGGGGAGATCTTTGCAGTACAGTTCATTTTCTGGAATTTCTCCTCTGGTACAATTTCTTTGTCACAAACAAGAGGTGGTTGCAGATTCTTTGTGTCTCCTGGTGTATTATTCCCATCCTTCTCCCCATTCCCTGTCTGTATTAAACTGCCTCCTGTGCAGTCCAGGCCAGTTCTCTAAACCAGACCAGTGAAATTGGTTTGTTTGGAGTTTTTGGAGGTTTTTTTTTATTGGAAGTAACACACTTCAGCGTGCCTGCTCTCTCTGCCAAAACATCCCCTGCAATAAGGTAATAAATCAAATTTTTTTTTTTTTGTTTTTTTTGCAAAATGTGGAAACCAGATTGTCCTGAAGTTCTGGCAGGAGGAACATCTGTACCTGGGTTTCCTTAACCAGGTCTCAGCCTTTGGGAGCTGCCAGGCCAAGGCCACCTTCAGGGGCTGCTGGGGTTTGTGGTGAGCTCGTCCTGCAGGGTCACACCGTGGCACTGCTCCGTGTGTTTACAGCAGAATCTGCTCCTCATCTCCCCAGCTATGAGAGCAAGGCAGTTACTGCCTCTGCACCCAGGAAATCTCACTTTTATTCTGATTTTTCTGAAGAGAAAATGAGCTTAGTTGTGCTTTTAAACGTCCTTACAAACAAAAGAATTTCAGGTCAGAGCAGAAGGAAGCCCTCAGTTGTAGGGCTCTGATTTTGCCCTTCCTAGTCAGTGTTTTCATAGAAGAATTTGGGTTTCCACAAAAGACATCCCTGTAGATAATATTTGAAACTCCCACTTTAAATTATTCCCTGTAGCTCCAGACTCCACTCTTTGGTGAGAACTTGAGTCATAGGATGCTTTGCAATGGTGGAGTTAAAAACTTCCAGCACTAGGGAAAGGTATTAGGTGTATTCTAGGCACTATCTGGACTGCTGAAGAGTATTTTAAAAAGAAAATAAAATGGAAATGGGGTACAGAAATCCAGGAGGGATGAGTCTGTGAATGTTTGATCTGATCTCTCAAATCCTTGCATTTATGTGCGCTGTATGAAATGAGATCTGCAGTGCAGGTGGCCCCGTGTGCCACCAGCTCCTGAATATTTCTCATTTATTGTTCCTTCTCTGCTGGGGCTGGGAATGGCTGTGATGTCTCTGCTTTCCAGGAGTTGTGTGAATTTGCAGATTGGGGGTGTCACTCTGGGGTTTGTCCCTGGAATGTGGGAGAGGGGCAGGGAGGAGGAGCAGCCCTGCGTGTCTGGTACAGCAATGCTTTAAGCACAAGTCTTTTACATTTCTACCGTGGAGACTGTTAAGGAGTTCTGGCATTTGTCTTTTTAATTTGCAACCTTATGTTAATAAACTATTAGCCTTTTTAGTTCCATAATTAAAAATAAAACTCTTACGTGTTTTGATTGGCTTCTTGTCGCGCTCCTGTTGCAAAATCAATCCAAAGGAACTTTTTTTTCTTTTGTTTTTAATTATGATTTCAGTGAGCTGAGCGTTATCACACAATGAAATCACTGGGAGCAGGTCACTGTGGTGAAAGTTAGCACGAGGCTCTTTTGTAATCAGCCCTGAGTCATGTCTGGACATTCAGTGCTCGGTTTTGTACAGTACCAAGTGTCCCAACCTCCCTTTTTTTAAGGAAAGGTGAAGAATGGACTGTGCTTGGGGCTTGCTGGGTTTGGTATGTGAAATAACCCAATTTTTGTCCCCTCCCCTCCTTTAATGTCCACTTAGTCTTGCTTCATAACTATTTAGAAATAAATGAGGCAATGTTTAAAGATGGAACAGTAAAGGGTTACAGCGCAGTGAGTTTGGGCTCAGGGTATCTGCACCATCTTGAGAAACCAATTTTTCCTGTATGCTGGGAAGATCTTTGTGGAGGAACAGATCCTGTTCCAGTGACTGGAACTCACATTTCCACAAGTGATGGGTGCTGCTGGAAGCCCCTCACTCTGTAAATGACAAATAAAGGCTCTGGGGAAGGTGTTTGTCCAAATCCCAGCCTGCTGCAACTCGGTCCCAAACCTTTCCAGCCTATCTTTATAAAAAACCCAGCCCAAACCCAACCAAGCCAATCAATTGGTAATTTCTACCAATTCTCATTGAGAATAAATTAATCTGTGTCCTGAAATATGTACTAGGGCCACATGTACCTGAAAGGGGAATGGTTTGTGCGGGTGAGCCGGGATGGAGGTGACAGTGACACAGGAGCAGGGGCTGAGGGACATGGCATCAGTGTCACTGGTGTCCCTTGGGCTGAGGGACATGGCATCAGTGTCACTGGTGTCCCCTGGGCTCAGGGACATGGCATCAGTGTCACTGGTGTCCCTTGGGCTGAGGGACATGGCATCAGTGTCACTGGTGTGCCACCGTCTTGTGCTCCGGGTCTATCCTGGCTCTGTCCCTGCTCTATCCTGGCCCTATCCCGTGTCTATCCCAGCTGTATCCCGAGTCTATCCCAGGTCTGTCCCGAGTCTATCCCGGCTCTGTCCTGGGTCTATCCCCGCTCTATCCTGGCTCTATCCCGAGTCTATCCCGGCTCTATCCCGAGACTATCCCGTGTCTATCCCGGACCTATCCCGGGTCTATCCCCGCTCTATCCCGAGTCTATCCTCGCTCTATCCCGAGTCTGTCCTGGCTCTATCCCAGCTCTATCCCGTGTCTATCCCAGCTCTATCCCGAGTCTGTCCCCGCTCCATCCCGAGTCTATCCCGGACCTATCCCGGGTCTATCCCCGCTCTATCTCGAGTCTGTCCTCGCTCTATCCCGAGTCAATCCTCGCTCTATCCCGAGACTATCCCGTGTCTATCCTGTGTCTATCCCGGGTCTATCCCCGCTCTATCCCGAGTCTGTTCTCGCTCTATCCCGAGTCTATCCCGGCTCTATCCCAGCTCTATCCCGTGTCTATCCTGTGTCTATCCCCGCTCTATCCCGAGTCTATCCCGGCTCTATCCCAGCTCTATCCCGTGTCTATCCTGTGTCTATCCCCGCTCTATCCCGAGTCTATCCCGGCTCTATCCCAGCTCTATCCCGTGTCTATCCTGTGTCTATCCCCGCTCTATCCCGAGTCTATCCCGAGTCTGTCCCCGCTCCATCCCGAGTCTATCCCGGCTCTATCCCGGACCTATCCCGGGTCTATCCCCGCTCTATCTCGAGTCGATCCTCGCTCTATCCCGAGTCTATCCCCGCTCTATCCCGAGTCTGTCCCGTGTTTATCCCGTGTCTATCCCGGCTCTATCCCGAGTCAATCCCGCTCTGTCCCCGCTGCAGCGCTGCCCTCCGGCCGCCAGGGGGCGCGGCTCTGTCCCCGCGGCGGCGCAGGCGGAAGCGGCAGCGGAAGCGCCTCTGGCTCCTCTTCCGGGCGGGCGGCGCGGCGGCGGCAGCGGGTGAGGCACCGGGAGCCGCAATCCGCGGCCATCGGGGCCATCCGCCGCCATCTCCGGCCGGCGGGGCCTCCGCGGGGAAGCGGCGGGGAGCGGGAAGGGGCTCGGGTGGCCGGGAGCCCGTCCGGGGCCGCGGGACGGGGAGAGCTCGGGCTCCGGGGGGAGCTCGGCCTCCTCCGGCTGCGCTTCCCTGGTGCATTACTGACTTAACACAGCCCAGCCCGCATGGGAAGTGCTAACGTGTACACTCAGAAATTGGAGAGTTGAGCAAAACCAGCCTTTAATCTAATTTATCCTCGATTTAATTTATCCTTTGCTGTCCGGATCAGTGGTGCCCGGACAGGCAATCCTGTAGCGCAGTTGTTAAAGTTTAGGAAAGGCCGGAATTATCTTGGGTTTGCAGATATGTTACCTGCACGCTGTGCTGAGGAGCGTTACTGGGGGTGCTGGAGCAGTGCGAGCCCAAAATACACACATTTATAGATTGGTGTAAATCTATATCAATCTATAAAAGATGAGGGGTGTGACTGCAGGGCAGCATCCAGCTGGCCTGGAACAGGGAGCTTTGGAAGAACGGTCTGATGTGCACGTGTGTCCATCACAGGCTCACTGTCACCCAGGACAGAGACTTCAATTTACTTGAAATTCGAGATATCAGGGTTTGTTGATCAGTAGTGGGATTAAAAACAGTTGAAATTGCTTTTTTATGCCGTGGCAGCCTCTGTGGGTGTGCATGATGAAGTGTAGTGTGTATACTGTGAGCATCTCTCTAACTGCTGGGGTTTTTGGGGTTTTTTTCGTGCAGCCAAAATGAAGTTCAACCCCTTTGTGACCTCGGACCGCAGCAAGAACCGCAAACGGCACTTCAATGCCCCCTCCCACATCCGCAGGAAAATCATGTCCTCGCCCCTGTCCAAGGAGCTGCGGCAGAAGTACAACGTGCGCTCCATGCCCATCCGCAAGGACGACGAGGTCCAGGTACGGCCCTGCCACAACTGAGCTGCTTCCGGGGGGTTTCAGAGCTGGGAAGGGGCTGGAGAATTCCTGAGGGAGCTGGGAAGGGGCTCAGCCTGGAGAAAAGGAGGCTCAGGGGGCTCTTCTGGCTCTGCACAGCTCCTGACAGGAGGGGACAGCCAGGTGGGCATCCAGGATGAGAGGGAACGGCCTCAGGCTGGGCCATGGTGTTTCCCAGGACGAGGAAAGAGATGAGAATCTTGACTCCACGTTTCAGAAGGTTCATTTATTACTTTATGGTATATTAAAAGAAAATGATATATTAAAACTACAGTAAAGAATAGAAGAAAGGATTTCATCAGAAGGCTAGCAAGGAAAGGAATGGAATGATAATAAAATATTGTGACTGACCAGAGAGTCCGAGACAGGTGGACTGTGATTGGCCATTAATTAGAAACATACACATGAGACCAATCACAGATGCACCTGTTGCATTCCACAGCAGCAGATAATCATTGTTTACATTTTGCTTCTGTTAGCTTCTCAGGAGAAAAGATCCTAACAAAAGGATTTTTCATAAAATATATGTGTGACAACAGAGCTCTCCCATTTGGGTTTACTGCACAGAAAATGGGGGAGAAGCACAATCCTGATCCATTGCATGTTCTGTGTTGGTAATGCTGAAATTGTCGGGTCACTCATGAGTTTGTGGCTTGACTCCTGTGCAGCTCAGCTGCTTTGTGGGGTGGGCTGGCTGTCCGGGGCTGCTCCTGGAGCTGTGTGTGTGCTGTGTGCAGGTGGTGAGGGGACACTACAAGGGCCAGCAGATCGGGAAGGTGGTGCAGGTGTACAGGAAGAAATACGTGATCTACATCGAGCGCGTGCAGCGCGAGAAGGCCAACGGCACCACCGTGCACGTGGGCATCCACCCCAGCAAGGTAAGGGGCACCTGGGGCTGCTCTGGGGTGGCTGGGACCTGGTGCCAAGTGGGGGGATTCCAACGGCACCACCGTGCACATGGGCATCCACCCTAGCAAGGTACGGGCACCAGGGCTGCTCTGGGCTGGCTGGGACTTGGTACCAAGTAGGGGGATGCACCTGGAAGCTGCTCCATCTGTGCATCTCCAGCCTGTGTGTGGAAGCTGAGTCATTGTTTAGTTTTGATTTTGTTGTTTAGCTTTGCTTTCACCCCACTCTGATTCAGCGGAAAACTACAGCTAAAAAAAATTAAATGTTAGTTTTACTGCTAATTCTCATGTGCAAACAACTCTCCTTGCTGTGCAGTGTGATTTAATAAGGTTTATGGTATGAATATTTTAAATTTAATATTTTTAATTAAATCTGTTAAAATAGTTAGAATAAGTTTAACATGCTGCACATCCCACTCTTAGCACTAAAATAAGAATAAAAATCTCAGTCTTTGTTCCAGAATTTACAGAAAAGTTTTCTAGTAGGAATATATTAATCTGGGCCTAGTTGTTACAAAGTGTGTGGATGCAGAATGTTTGTTAGTATAAAAATAATCACTTTGTTTTGCTTCTGCCTCTTGCACAATGGTCAATATCGGTGCAGGCTGGGATATAAACACAGGCTGGGGATGCACGGCTGGAGCAGCCCTGGAGGAGGATCTGGGGGTGCTGCGGCCAAGAGCTGGAGCTGCCCTGGCCCCCAGAGCCCCCCATGCCCTGGGCTGATCCCATGGGCAGCAGGAAAAAATCCTTCCCTGTGAGGGTGGCAGGCCCTGGCACAGGTGCCCAGAGCAGCTGTGGCTGCCCCAGGATCCCTGGCAGTGCCCAAGGCCAGGTTGGACATTGGGGCTTGGAGCACTGGGACAGTGGAAGGTGTCCCTGCCATGGCAGGGGTGGCACTGGATGATCTTCAGGCTCCCTTCCAGCCGAAACCATTGTGGGGTTCTGTGAACAACAAATGGAGATGTTGCCTCAAGGAAGTGTTAGGGTGTCATGAGGAGAGATGTGAGTTCAGACCATATTGGAGAGGCTTAAACAGATGCTCAGAATTGTGATTGTTCTTGCAGACAACTGTGAACTGAATAATTCTGAACCTGGGTTTGACCTGAGGTATTTAGAGCTGGTGAAAACCAGGCAAAACTTGTTTAGATCATAACAGGAAACATTTCAAACTAAACACAAGAACTTGCCAAAACCTGGTTTGAGGCAGATGAATTCAGTCTGCTTCAGCCTTGCCACGTGGGCACAAAGATGGAAGTGTTGGTGGAAAAAATCCAGTTGTAACAGGTTTTCTGTAAATGGTTGGTGTGTTCAGCAGAGGGAGGGCAGAATTATTCCAAAACATCACGACTTGTGTGCGGCAACAACATCTGAGTGACAAGGTGACATTGTGGTGGAGCCAGTGCTGAATAGCAGTGAGAGAAACAGAATTTTCTGCTGCTGCTTTCCTCTGGGAAAATTTTCATTAATTGGGAACTAGACCTCAATAAAGCTTTGCATAAAGATTCTGGTTATTAATGCAGAGAGCAGAGGAATGTTTTGTTACAGACTTGCAGTGTGAACAATTTGAACCTCTCCTGGGCAAAGAGGTGGGAATTACAATTGAGACCTAAATTACACAAGGAATTAAGGAGAAAATGTGCCTGTATGGCATTTCTAGGATTTGATTGTAGTTCGATTTTCCAGGTAGTGCTTTCAGTAGCACCAGCAATTTCTTTGCCAGTTTGAGGAGGCAGGAGCAGGAATGGTTGGATAAATTCTTCCCCGGGAGGGTGATGAGGCAAAGGACTGTCTTGTTACTGACTTGTAGTGTGAACAGAGGTGGGAATTACAATTGAGACCTAAATTACACAAGGAACTAAGGAGAAAGTGTGCCTATATGGCATTTTTAGGATTTGATTGTTAGTTCTGTTTTCCAGGTAGTGCTTTCAGTAACACCAACAACTTTTTGCCAATGTGAGGAGGCAGGAGCAGGAATGGTCGGATAAATTCTTCCCCGGGAGGGTGATGAGGCAGAGGGTGCCTGGAGAAGGAAGTGTCCAGGGCCAGCTTTGGCTGCTGCCTTTGTGCTGGTGGGATCAGCTCTGGGCTGAGGTGGATTTGGGCTGGGCAGGGAGGCTGAAGTGCTGTTCCCTGTGCAGGTGGTGATCACCAGGCTAAAGCTGGACAAGGACCGCAAGAAGATCCTGGAGCGCAAAGCCAAGTCCCGCCAGGTTGGCAAGGAGAAGGGCAAGTACAAGGAGGAGACAATCGAGAAGATGCAAGAATAGCTGCCTTCCTGATTGACACCATTAAAAAACTGCTAAAATTTAATATGTTGTGTGTCTTCTTTCAAAAATATTAATATGTCCTGCTCAGCATTTAAATATTCATACTTGTCTTTTGACTTTGTAAAAAATATACTAAATTTAAAAGCTCTTGGTACCTTTTTTTCACTGTTAAGAAAAACAGTTAGAAATGCTTCAACCAACCTGAAAGAGCGGTGCAATCCTGAAACATCCATCTCAACAGTCGTTGTATTTCTGTCTCTTCATTAGATGTGCCCATGTTTTTTTTTAATATTAACATGTTAATTCTGTGCACTGAATATGTAATTAATTCAGGTCTTAGATTAATGAGGAGAAAGGGGTTTACGAGCAGTGCTGACTGGTTTGGAAGGGATGGGGTGAAGCAGTGTCAGCACTGCTGGTGATGCTTATTTGATGAATTTTCTGTGAGAGATTTTTCCTGGCACTTTGTACCTCCATAATTGAGAGCTGCTTGTTGAAAACATCCCTGCAGTTCAGCGAATTGACTGGCTCAGTGAATGGCCCTCTAATTGCTGCTGCGGAGGGACAGAAATTCATCTGCCTGAACAACAATGGATGCTGGCAATCGAGGAAAATTGTTTCAGAAGCCATTCATAGCCTGACAGTGAGGCTGTGTTGGGTGGACTGGGGTGGGTTTCTCTCATGAAGGCTCAGGGGTTTTATCCCTCCAGCTTGTGCTGCTCAATATGACATTTCTTAACCTTGAGTGGATTTTTGAGGGGTATATGAGGAATTCCGTGAGGTTTGTTCATTACCGGGACCTTTCCAGGTACAGAGCTGCTCTGTGGGATCGTGTCCCAGTTCTCTGAGGAGCTCAGAGCCGGCAGGAGCTCCGTGTCCGCTTACCCGGCAGCGTGTTTGGGATGGGGATCCCAGGGCAGTCCCGATCCCATCGTGGTCCTTATCCCGCGGCAATCCCGATCCCATTGCGGCTCTGATCCCATCGCGACCCTTGTCCCATGACAGCCCCGATCCCACTGCGCGTGCCCCGCGCGCTCCCGCGGCCCCATGGCTCCCTCACCGCGCGCTCCCGCCGGCCCCGCTGACGTGGAGGGCGCTGATTGGCGGGCGCCGGGCGTGGCCTGGCAGGAGGCCCCGCCCCTGTTCCCCTCAGAGCGCGGCCATGGCGTACGGCGGCCTGGCGGTGCCCATCATCGTCATGAGCGTGTTCTGGGGGGTGGTCGGCGGCGTCCTGCCCTGGCTCGTACCCAAGGGGCCGAACCGCGGGTGAGTGACCGGGGGGCGGCGGGCACCGGGCACCTTCCCTTCCGTGCCCCGCGGCTGTGGGGGGAGGCCCCGGCGGAGGCGGCCCCGGAGCCCTGAGGCGCCCCGAGGTTGCCGGGCCCGGGGCCGCCGCAGCCCCGCGGGCGCAGCGCTGGCGCAGCACGGACGGGCCCGGCCGCCCCTGGGGCTGCCAGAGCCGGGCGGTGCCTCGGGGCCCCTGGCGGGTTTGGGTTTCCCCTGAGGCCCTGGCACAGCGTGCCCAGAGCAGCTGGGGCTGCCCTGGATCCCTGGAATCCCAGATTGGACACTGGGGCTTGGTGCCACCTGGGATAATGAAAAGTGTCCCTGCCATGGCAGGGGGTGGAACGAGATGAGCTTTAAGATGTTTTCCAACCCAAACCATTGTGTGAAAGCCCTGCAGGCAGAACGTCCTGTGTCAAGGTGGCTCTTTGTCAAGCGGTGTTTAAACAACAACTTCCTCTTTCTTTCTTTCCTTACTTGACCTTTCCTAACTTTCCACCGTCCTCTGGTTCCACACTGGGTGAGACTGGAAAGGCTGCAGAGGAGGATTTCTGGGGGAAATGTGTGCTGGTGCCCTCGTAGCTGAGGACAGCAGCTGGGCCTCTAAGCTGATGTTTTTCCTGCAGTGGTTGTGGCTGCTCAGATTAAAAGGCAGACGAGTTTTTGTCTTTCTCTTTTCTCTAGGAGATAATGGCTCCTTAATCTCTCTTCCTCTCTCTGACACTCCCTCTACTCCACAGGTACCAGCTGTCTTTCTCTCAGTTCTTTATCTAAACCCTCAATATTCCTCAAGCTCTGATATTCCCTGCCTCACTTTCCAACCTGTGTTTCATGCCTGGAAACTTGCCTGTCCTCAGAAATACCTTGGGAAAAGGCTTCCAGGCATGGGAGTGTGGGAATTCTGTGCCTCACCAACAGAAGTTACTGACCTCCCATGAGGTTTTGTTACTCAGTTGGGGGAGGAAATATATAGATGGAAATGCCTTTTTATAATTTAAAAATAAAAAAAAATGAAATAAAACACTTTGCCACCGAGTTCTATGAGCTGCAGAATATCTCATTTCCTCTCCTCCCATTTCAAACCCATCTGTGTGTGTGTGTGTAGCTGCAATTTCAAGAGTTTGGTTCTTCCTTCTTTTCAGCTTTCCAGTGGTGTCTGACACAGCTGTGTTTCACCAAGAAAAGAAAATTTTACACTACAGCTTTGAGGTTTGATTTTGTATTCCATCTGTAGACTCCTCATTCATCATATAAAATTGAAAGTGACAATTTGCCACTAAAACTTTCTTAGAATTCTGCAAATGGAGAAAGTGTGCATCCAGACTAATGTGAAGGGCACTGCATCAGGTTTTGCTGCTGCTCACAGTGATTTTGTTCCATCCAGCTGTAGAGTGTTTGGCAGAGCTGTGTCAGTCCTGCAGATCTGAGCTCTGCAGTTCACTCAGCTGGAAGAAGCCAGAACATTGATGTTGAGTCATCTTTCATATGATCAAAGTTGAACTTGTCCTTGTTTGCTGTGGGGTTTTCTCTGTGAATGTTGTGATCAATCACAACACCACACCTGATCACGTTTCTCCTTCCTCTTGGCAGAGTTATCAACACCATGCTGGTGACCTGTGCTGTCTGCTGCTACCTGTTGTAAGTACAAACACTGCCCTGCCCACTCCTCTTGTAATCACAAGTTCCTTTTTTACAGCTCAGAGCACTTAGAGGCTTTTTGAATGTGTCACAGAGATCTGGACCTGTTCTTTGACAGCTCTTGGAATTCTGAGTTCTAAAGAAAGACCTTCAGTGTGCTGAAGAAATTTTCCCATTGGAAATGCTGAATTAGAAAACCTGAATTCCTCCTCTGACACATGAGTGTGAGCTGTGCTTGCATGGAGTTGCTGTTCCTCCTCTCCAGTTCCCTTCCTCATTTGTTCACATATATAATGACAAATTAACGTTTTCCTGATTCTTAGGCTTTTTTTGCCTTTTCCCTTTCCACTTTATATTTAATTCTCACTCAAACCCACTGAACAGCTTTTCTTTTAAATTCCTTGAATATATTCTCAAAATCTGGTGGAGTGGTGGGTGGGAAAGCTGCTGCATGGTGGGTTTTTAGTGAGACTTTGATATATTAAGACAATTTCTCTCTAAATGCACAGTGTATTTTGAGGCTGCCTCCTTTCTGTAGGAGATTTAGTAGCAATTATAAAATGACTTGTTGAGAGCTCCTCATATAATGTTATTTATCAGGATTTAAGCCAGCTGCAGCTGGAGGCTGCAAGACAAAGCTTGCTTGTGTTTTTTCTCTCCTTTTTAAATACTGTGGAGACTGATCTTGTAAAAAACTGCTGTGCAGAAATAACTTTGAAGGAATTTGTTATGGAGAGTAAAGTGGTAAAAATCTGGCTTTATCTTAAGGGTTAACTTGTTATAAAAATTATTATTTGGAGTTCCATTTGAACCTGAGTGGTATTTGTACTTTCCTGAACTATTTAGGCATTATTTATGCTATTCAAAGGAATGGAACATGAATATTTAGAGAAATGCATCTCAGTGTTCCATGTTCCAGGAGAGGCCTGTTGGGTTAACAACTTACACAGGTTTGGTTTAGGTTAATAGTGTGATACTCAGGGTTAGTATCACTTTATACTCTAGAAAATTTATTTCTGTTCCAAGTATTTGATTTGTGAACTCCTAAGAATTCACTCTTGCTTAACTGTAGAAGCCCAGCAAACTTGGCTCTGTTTTGTATCCACAGAAGTTTTTAAATTTAAGTTTTGCTGAGTGGATATAGAAATTTGAGAATTTGTGCAATCAGCTTGAATTTCGGGTTAAAATTTGGGAATCTCAGGGCTGTGAAGGTCTCCTTGCCCTGCACATGAAGTTTGTGGCAGCCCAGTCTCATAACAGGTTCCAAGTGTTTGGCTAAAAAAGGACAATTTTCTGGTGATTTTTACTGGGTTGCTGCATTTATGTTACAGTAAGTTGGGTGTTTTTTAATTAGGAGGAGCTTTGTTTTGATTTTATTTAAATTTAAAGTTCTCACTTGGGTTTTTTCTACAGAAATTATGTCCCACTCTTCTAAAACCCTTGAGGTTTGGTGTCTGTTGTTTGAAGGAGAATTTTCCTTGAAGCAGAGGCTGTGTGGCATCTGCAGCATCCTCTGGATTGTGATGGGAAATGTATTTGTTGCAGAATTTCTTAACTTTGGCTAAATTCTGTGAACTCTTCAAGTGTACAGTGGTGTGTGACTTGTAGGTTTAGTAGATTATTTTATCTGAACAGACCCATTATAAAGCCTGCTGTTATTAACATGTTTTATAAACTGCTCTTGTGTGTCCAGGGGTTCTTTGCTAATTTTGTGGGCTCTAATTTGTTTTCTGAAAGCCAAATTTCTCCATTTATACTTCAGGAGAAAAAAAAAAAGCAGCAAAATCTTGGGATATTTTCAACCTTCCATAGTTGTACCCAACCACAGAAATTGCATTTGTGGTGTCTGCTTGCCAGAATGCAACAAAAAGCAGATTTTTTTTATCATGTTCCAAGACAGAACTTGCCTCATCACAGATGCTTTCATTTTTTTATTTGCTCATTTATTCTGTATAAAAATGTAGAAGAGCCCTCTTTGGAAAGGACCTCAAAAGATCTGGTGCAACTTTTTCCCTCTGTTTTATTCAAACATATGGAGCTTTATTGTTCTTGCATTCTTTTCCTTTTGGGGACGAGGCACTGAAAACATTTAAAACCTTAATTTTGGGTGGTTAAAGAAAGAGATTAATTTTTCATTCAGCCTTGAAAGAAGCCCAAAGAATTATTCCTGGGGGTTCTTCATTAGATCTGTTAGGATAAAATAATTTCTGCTGCCCCAGGTATTTGTGTGTCCTGAGCAGTGGCTGGTGCTGGTCTCTGTTCCTCTGTACAGCTGTTCAGTCTCTGCTAGATCTGCTTTTATACTCTTTGAGTCACCTTTCCTGTTCAAAGTAGGGAAAAAACAATTTCCTGTCTTCATTAAACACCACTTGATTAATAATAAATTGGTTTTCACTGAAATTAATTAGCAGTCAATACATTTCAACTTAAAGCTGTTCCTTCTGTATTTAGATTTAGCAGTGATAATTTGAATAACCATGTTAATTACATGGGATTCATTTGGTTGTTCTGTGGAAGATATTTGCATCTGATTTGTGTACAAATCCTGTACCCAGCAGCCTTTTGAAGAATAAACCATTCTCAGGGACCTCATAAAATCTAAGGCAAAGTCCAAGGAGTTACTGCTGCAGAAATTAGAGGTTACACCATATTCTGAGGTACTAAATCTATTTTGCTGTGCACAAAGCAGTTCCTGAACAGTGTCATCATGTCCTAACAGAGGACAGGGTGCTTGGAAAATTGTATTATTTGCTGCTGATTCTAACAGGATTAAAATATGGATGCCCAAATTGACATTTAAACAGAGATAGCAGGACCTTAATTTGTAACACGAGCACAGACAGATGGCAGTTGTGGTGGGAAGACCTTTTAAAAAAATCTCTGCTACAACAGAAGGGACTTTAATTTCCTTGTCTGAGCTGGATAATTACCAGTAACTGTTCTAAGTGGGATCTGGTAGAATTCGAGGACCCGTGGGTGGCTCGAATGCCATACCTGCTTTTAGCAGCTCTGGAACATTGCACCTTGGATACAGAGGTTTGTTTGACTCTGAATCCACTTTGCTGGATTGTTGTATAAAGCAGCATCACTGAACCAAGCACGGGAGAAGCTTTTCCATGCCTTACCTTGAAGGCCAGGCAGTTGCAGCCTGAGAGCTGCTTTAGATTGCTCACCCTGCAGGCAGGGGAGGGCTGTGCCGCTGCCCTGATGGCACCGGGCTCTGAGCTCGGGAATCCTGCACGGCCCCAGCAAACAAAGAAATGCCTTTTAAACCTCCACGCTGCCCTTCCCCAAGCCTGCTCCCACAGGCTGAGCTTCTTAATGTGCTCCCAGCCCGTTTAATTCCCAGCCCTGCTGGGCCCGAGCTCGGGAGGTGAGGGATTCGTGCAGGGAGTTCCTTCCTGCTCCGCGGTGACAAAGGGAATAATGTGCTTTACCGGGCTTCTGGTGTTCTACCCTCCTCCCACTTGTGTTACTTCGGGATGCTGGAGGCAGATGGCACAGTGCTCCTTGGATCTGTCTGGTGGATCTGAAAAATTAACCCTTACAAAGAAATCCCCTGATCATTTTAAGAGCTAATTTGCTATTCTCTTAAGTAGATTTAACATCGTGGTCTCAAAATGCATTGTTGTCACTGCTTTGGACAGCAGAGTAGAAACGTGTCAGCCTGAAGGTTTTTGGCTGCTCTCAGTGGTGTCTTGCTGATGTTTTAATTCCTTTGTAGAGCCTGCTACGTGTTCCAAGGCTGTGTGACTGATGGGCTGCTGCAGGCTCACTCCTTGTTTTAGCTGCAGTTCTACCCCCTGCAAAACTGAAAGGGGCATTTTGCAGAAATATTGGTAAAATTGAGGAGGATTGATGTGTTTTCCTGAAGTCTGAGCCACATCTTTGCCTCCGTGGCTGTTGCAGGCAGCCGACCTGCACTTGGTTTGCTGGTCAGAGCATCAAGGTTTGTGTGGAATTTTCCATGACTGCCTAAGCACTCTGATACATTTGTGGCAGCTCCCATTACAAAGCTGCTCTGCTTTTTCTCCTCCTTACAAAGCATTCTAGAAATAGCAGACAGATGAGCCAGTGTGTTCACTAAATGTGTTTATAGAGTTAGTATTTAACATAGATTTAAATCCATGGAAGCATCCATTGCTTTTTCTGATTCTTGTAACGTTTACAAAGCAAATATGTCTTTTAAGAGTGGAATATTTATTTCTGTTTAGCTTTCCTGGATATTTTCCACAAACTACATTCCTCTTGTTCTCAGTTCTGGCCATGGCTTCTGCAGTGTTAGTTTGTGCTGTGCTCCAGTGACAAGGCTGTGTGCTGATCATCTGGGGTTTGTGTCATATTGGGGTTGTTTTTGTGGGGTTCTTTTTTTGTGTTCTTTTGTCCCCTTTTGCTTCAGGTCCCTGTTTCTTGACCTCTGTGCCAGGTTTAAATTCACTTTTGTTAAACCTCTGAAAAATATACCGTGTCTGCAAGGTTGTTGTGCACTGAGAAGCAAATGAGAGAGAGGATGTTTCTCAGAGGTTGTTGTTTAAAGGATGCTTCAAAGGCACTGAAAAAAGCTCTTGTCTCTTTTATGTTTTCATCTTCTGAGCCCCCAAATAGCTGAGTTTCATGTGTCTCAAAACACTTTTCTGTCAAAAGAGAGGTGTGAGGGCAGTGCTAGCAGGTGGGTTTGTGTTGCTTTCAGTTGAGCAGGACAATCTGTTTCAGCTGCAGAATGATTTGGTGCCATAACTTCATTGCTGGTGGCTGGTCCTTGTGTTTGACCTTGAGTAGAATTTTTATATGAACCCAGACCTTCCTAAAATAGCCTTTTCTTCTCTGATAGTCCTCATGTTTGGACAACCTTCCACTGTCACAAGCTGTCCTTTGGCTGATTTGTCTCTCTTGGCTTGGGGGGTTCTCTTGCAGTTGGCTGATTGCAATTCTGGCTCAGCTCAACCCTCTCTTTGGGCCTCAGTTAAGCAATGAAACAATCTGGTACCTGAGATACCACTGGCCTTGAGGATGTCTGTGCTGTGCTGCAGCTCATTGACGGTGAGTATGAGCAGATTTATTGAAGTATTTGCTGTGTTAAAGCTTCAGGAGAGATTGAATGGTAATGTGAGCAGTGTGCTAAACCAATGTAGCTCTTTGGTAGGAGGAATCTGTCTTTCTGTAGGCTGCAACAAAACATTTTGGATGTTAGTCTTGATTGGATACATGAAAAGCTTGAACTGAATTATTGACAGTCATTTTTCTTTCTATGCTGTTATGTAGTGCAATGTTCAGGGGTTTGTAAGGAGAACAAAACATTACTTCCAAAAAAAGATGCAATTGAACTGGGTAACATAAGTGGATTTCCTAATCTTTACCAATTGTTAAACCTCTCCTCAAGCCTGCTATGCTACCATTTCATCTAAGACCTGTCCTGATTTCCAAGGCAACACAGCATTGCCCTCATTCATCTGGGAAGTTGGAATGGGAGCTGCCATTAGAATGTTCTTTATCTCCTGAGTTCACAGCTTGATGGTTTATTTTGTTTTTAATGACAGCCTGTGTGCAGCTTTAATCCCAGCTGAGCCTGGTGCTTGCTATCAGGGCAGTGCTGCTGGAATGTGGTTCTTGCAGTTCCTGGGCTTTCTGACAGGGCCAGCACAAATAAAGTGTTGTACCAAGAGGAGCTTGATGCTCTTGGGCTTGTTCAGGAGGGCAGCATTTGGAATTGAAGGTTCAAATGAAGGAGATGTGGAAACAAGCAGCCATGATTATAGTTTTTAAGCTGGTAACTGAATAATTAAACACATTTTTTGTTTGTCCTTGTACAACACAGTCTCAGCTCAGTGCAGCAGGCAGTGACAGCTGATGTTACAACTCTGTTAAATCCTTTCTGTGAGGTGTCCTGCACATTTGCTCCCCAGTTTCAGAGAGGGTTTCCTGTGAACTGGGCTGCTGGCAGACTGGCCTGTGTGTGTGTCTGCAGCTCCTTTTAAGCACCAGGCAGAAGCTGAAGGTAGACTTGGCCCTGCTTCAGCACCAGGCCTGTAATTAGCCAAGTCAGTCAAGCACAATTTCCTAGGAGCATTTTCACTGCTTGGGTGCTAACATATAATTAGTTAGCTAAAACAGAGAACAGTGTGTTTTGGTAATGGGCACAAAGATCCCATAGGATGATTCAGTTGCCTGGGATCTGAAATTGGAGTTATCTGGACAGAAAAATTGGGTTTCATGGTCTGTGTTGAAACCAGCAAGGAAAGGCAAGAGGTGAGACACAACCTCTGGATTCCTGCTAACAGAACCAGGCCCTTCCTCTCTATTCCAGCGAAGGATTTTCCAGAGAACTGGAATTAAATTTGTACCAAGGAAGAGAGGGACCTTGTGTGTTTGAAGCTGACTGCAGTTTCTGAGGAACTGTCATTTTAAAACTTATTAATGGAGCATTTCAGCCCTGCACAGCACATGCAGTTTTGTTACATGAAGGAGTTTGTTTTAACCTTTCATCTGATTTTATTGGCTTGATTTTGGAATAAAATTAAGATTGTTGCCTCTGAAAAGGAAAGGTTTAGAAAAGTAAAAGCACATAATAATCCTCAAATATCTGTTGTTTGTTGTTTGAAATGTGCTGTCCCAGGTCACAGCACTGCAGTGTTTGAGTGCTGTGGCAGGGCTGAGGTGCTCCAAGTCCTGTCCTTGTTCCCGTGGAGTTTGTGCCTAGACGGGAGCTGGGGGTGAGATTCCATCTGATAAGAGCTGGGATATCTCTCTGACACTGCATGGATTCCCATCAGTGTAGCAACCAGTTATTTCTGGATTTGGAGCTGTGCTTTTCCAGCATTCAGGGGAGATGTACTATACTTGTTTCTGCCTCCTGTTCCTTTCAGTTGAGGTTTGGGTGGATTAGTATGGAAAATGCAAAGAAAATGAAGTGCTAACTCCCAAAGTGGAAAGATCCTTAAAAATAAAGATGATTAAAGCAAACCCATTTTACTTAACTGAGCAGCCTGAAAATGCTCCAGTAAGTTCCTCGTGTTCTGCTGAGGAACTCTGCATGTGCTGGCTTGATTGATCTGTGCCAAATCCCACAAGTTTGCTCTGTGTTTTCAGGCAGCCTCCCTCCCATCCAAGGGATGATTTTCTGGCAATTCACTTGATGCATCCCCAAGTTAATGGCTTGGATGGCAGCGTGCAGGAGCACACAGAGCTCTGTAGCCGTGGTAAATCCAGGCTGTGCACTCTCCCAAACTGTGAGCCAGCAGTGCCTTTTCTCCTTAGCTTGGTGAATTCACAGCCTGTGCTCTCAGAGCAGGAGCTGCCTTTGTGCAAGTGGAGAAGGGCTCTCGTCCAGCTCGCTGGGTGCTGTTACAGCAATGAAAACATTGGAGGGAAAGAGTTGTTCTACCAGCTTATAATGTAACTAAAACTGCTTGCAGTAACTTCAGAAATGAAACTGCCAGGCAAACATCCCCACAGATGAATTATCTCCAGTTCTTGACCACTGCCCAGTGCATTTGTGGAGTGGAAATAGCTGTGCTTAACAGCCAGGCCTACAATTAGCAAGCTGTGTCCATGAAGGAATAATGAAGGTGCCTCTTGCTTTGCAGGTGCAGAAGAGATGAAACCTGCAGTGACCCAAAGGTGCCCTTTCTGTAGCTGTTGGACACGAAGCCTGCAGTAATGCCTTAACCTTTCTAATGTTCTTCAAGTGGCTTCTTCAAAGTCCTGTGGTTTTCCTACTATTCCATTTAACAGAGTGCCTAATGCAATTTATACTCCTCTTTGGTACTGTCAGTTTTTGACTGTTAACTCCAGATGTGATGAAAATTTCTGTTTTTTACGGGTCATGGAATCACATTTCCTGTTGACTTTATCTGTAATAACTCTTTATATTTACAGGTCTTATCTTGTCTGTCATTGTGCTGTTCACCCCTGTTCTGTTTGCACTGGGCAAAAATGTGTGCAATAAACTGTGTGAGGAGAGGACAAGCAGTGGTACCATGTGCTGATGGTGATTTTTATTTTTTCCAAATTAATTGTATTCTTGAGAAATCTGGCCTTAAATTTCTCATGCCTGGAAATAAAACTAATCCTCTGCTTGATACAAAACGTTCTCGTGCCATGTTTAACTGTTATTTGTCTGTGGGTTTAATTGGATACTTGGAGTTGAGCTGAGGATGTTTACATGATGTGGATAAATTGTAATGAAGTTAAATAGCAGGAATAGATGGGGAATTGTTGCCTGTATTGAGACCTCTGGGGTAGATCTCTAATAGGATTAAACTTGCAATTTAAAATTGCTGAAAGGTGCAGGAATAAGTGAATGCTTGGCTTGAGAGCCTCTTTTCCAGGAACTTCCCATTGTTTGAGGGGGGCTCAGAGTAGCAAAGGTAACGTGGTTAATTTGATGAAGCCTTCACTGTGATTGTGACTGGAGGCTGATTTAATCCCTGGCACATTTGGAGGATATTATAGGAGCAAATGGATTGAATTGAACAGCAGACATTCCAGTTGTTTTGTACTGACCTGACCCTTGCATGTGGATTGCAGAGCTGGGAAAGCCCATGGCAATGTGGGCAAGGGGTTCCTGAGGCTCCTCAGTGTCAGCTGAGTCCCTGGGACTGGGATGGATCTGCTCAGTTGGTTCTGAGGAGCAGCTTCCAAGGGTATAAATGCTGCTCCCTGGATGCCTCCTTACCTCATGTCCAGATAAATTACAGTTATTCCCTTTATTGTTCTGCACAAGGACATAATGGAATGGTTAATATTTTATTTGCTTTTCCCTCTTGGATAGCACCATTAACTGTTCAGTGGGACAGCACTCATTACTACACAGGAAATTCCAAGATCCTGACATGTAACTTGCAGTGATCCAAAACTGGACAGTGTGAATTGCAAAAGAAGGAAGAACGTGCTGGTTATTACAAATAAACATAGCAGCTGTTGGGACTGCAATAGTGGATTTTTTTTTTGTCATGTCACCTTCTAAGAGCTGTATTTTACCATGCAAGATGTTGTACCCCGTCATGTTACACAGTCTGTACCAAAAATTACAAGGAAAATTGAAACCAAGTGATCATATAAAAACTTGAAATTGTTGTTTGATTTTTGAAGTGTGTGGAGAATAAAATGTGTTGACATTGTACGAGAGGAGGGAGAGAAATGCTCCAAGATATCGTTGACAGATTTGAGATTTTGAAATATGTTGATCTGCTTGTCATATTTAGCCTGAAGAGAAATATCCCAAGAGAAGCACTCAGTGACAAACAGTGCTGTTTATTGTGTTACCACTGTCTTTAACAAGCTTTCTATTTTAGGTTCTAAGCTATCACTTGCTCTAGAAGAGAGAAGAGGTCCCATGGGTGTCTCACTGGTGCTGAATTGAATGGGAAGAGCTATTCTAAGCCAGGACAAAGAAGCCATAGAGCAGTTTTCACCTAGATGCTTCCCAGAAAGACATTTCCCTTTTCCAGAGTTAACGTTTCCTCTGAAGCAGATGCCAGGTGAAGGCAGATGAAGAAGCGAAGCAGATGAAGAAGCTAAAGAATAATGTTTTGTGTGTTCTGCTGGGTGGTGCATGGTGGTTGGGGAATGGTCTGCTCCTTGTGTGCCAGGAATTAACATTGCTTGGGATAATTTCCTTTTTTTGCATGACTGCAGGAAGTGAGAACAGAGGGATTCAGCCGCTGATGTTGAACAAACAATGCAGGTACCAGAGCCCTTATCACACATCCCTCTGTTGTCTGACAGCAGAAGAGAACACAGAATGTTCAAGTGTAAAAGAAAGAAGTTTGTGCTTGAAATGGAAAGCCTGTGCCTGTATTGAAAGATATTTGGGTAAAAAATGAGGAAGGTGAAGGAAGCTGACTCCACAATCAAGTTATGAAGGCTTTTAGGCCATAAACTCTGCAATGTACAGAGCAAGAATTCAGGTCAGGGTCATTCAAACGCTTGTAACTGCTTTTGTTCGTATTTAGGAAATGCATTTCTGCCCCTCACAAGAAATTGTTCTGCAGACTTTATAGAAGTTTATTTTACTTTTCCTCTAGTGGAAATCATGGAAGCATTTTACTCCTGTGCAGGGCTGAGTTACCAGAGGTGGGTGGCTGCTCCCTTGTTTCCAGAATTAAACCTCATGGACTCTTCTGGGGCAAAAATAGAATAAATGGGGGAAATATGAAAACTTTTTTAAAGAATAGAAGACATTCTTTACAAATAACAAGATAAGAACGGCTGGCTCTATTTTTATTATGTTTATTACTAATAATTTCTCCGGTTGTGTCTGAAGCAGTCCAGGCCAGCCACGTGTCAGTGTGAAAGGTGGTTGTGCATGTAGCTGAAGGCAGTGGGACAAGTGACAGAGCTGCAGGTAGGACACGGACGGATGAATGAGGGGGGTAAGTGTGAGAGCGATGCCGCCGAGCAGCAGGACGGGCTGAGGGACGGGGACCCAGCACGGCCTCAGGAGCGGCGGCCGCGCCTCGGCCCCGCCGCGCTCTATCCGCGGGCACCCGCCTCCCCGCCTTAAATACCCCCCGCGCGCCGCTCCGCCGTCACGTGACAGACACAGCCCCCCGCTATTGGACGGCGCAGCCCCCTTCCCCCCGCCTCCCGCGCGCGCCCGCCCCCTCGGGCCACGTGAGGGTCGAGTCACGCGATTTCCGGGAACCCGTCAGGAAGGGACATAAACAAACAAACCCGGGGCCGCATGGAGGGGCCGGGCCGGGCCGCGCGGGGCTGCGGCCCCCGCTGAGCACCGTGAGTCAGGGGCTCGGGGGGACCGCGGGGCTCCGGGGGACTGCGCCGCACCGAGGGCGCCGGGGGTCGGGGGGCCCGGGTGGTCCGGCGGGAGGAGGCGGTGTCGGCGGGCGGGGGGCTGCAGGGAGGGAGGGAGAGCGGCACGGAGGTGTCTGCCCGGCTGCCGGGGGCAGCGGGATAGGGATGGTGCCAGCAGCCCCTCCGCTCCGCTCGCCTGCCGGGGGGGTGTGGCTGCCGGGGCGGCGGGAGAGCTGCAGCGGTGCGCGGGGGGTGTCCGGTCCCGGAGCGGGGCTCTGGGGCCCGGGGCCGGGCTGGGGGCGGTGGGAAGGGGCTGCAGGGACGGAGCGCGGGCTCCGCGGGGAGTTGTCGGCGTTATCCGCTCCAGCCTCCGCCCGGCAGGAGCGGCCCGTGCCTTTACAAGGAAAGCGAGTCTCGCAGCGAGCGCCGGGGAGAGGAAAGCGCCGTCCTGCCGGGGGAGCCCGGCCGCTCTGGGCGTGCGGGCGGAGGGAAGCCCTGCACTCCTGCCTTTCGGGGCTCGTAGACGCCTCCTCTGTTTGCGACCTGTTTGAATGCCCGGGACGGCCGGGGGTGACCCATGGCCGTGCGGGGTCTCTGTGCCTGGCTGTGCTGGTGCCCGACGGGCGGCTCCGCTGCGGAGCAGAGCTGGCGGAGAGGGGTCACCGCTCTGCGAGTGCGGGGCAGGGCAGGACGGGACCTTCCCCGCTCCGGCGCGCCGTTTATGTAATGCCAGAGCGGCGGGCCGGCTGTTCGCTGCGAGCCGCGGCCCCGGGACGGGGCTTCTCCCGGGCAGCGCGAGTGCGCTCCGGCTGCCCGCAGCCCTGGCAGGGCTCGCTGCCCAGGGGCCGCCCCCCGCGGGACGCGGCTCCCTGGGCGGTGTGTCCGGCGCGGAGGGGCCGGGGGCGGCCGGGCGGGTGCCCGGAGTGGCGGGCGCGGCCCGGGGGTCGCGGGGCCGCGGCCGGGGCGGCGGGAGGGGGTTTGTTTACATGTCGCCTCACCCTAGCTTGAAAGGGCCGCTGGGCGGGTGAACGACGGGCGCCGCGGCCAATGGGAGCACGCGCGTTGGGGCAGACAGCCAATGAGCGGGCGCGGAGGGCGGGGCGGCGGCGGCCGGGGTAGGCTGCGCTGGGCGGTGGGGCGGCCATGTTGGCCGGAGGTGTGTTAGTGGGTCAGGGCCGGGCCGGGGGACGCGGCGGGGCCGCGGGCACCGCGCGGGGCCGTGGCCGCGGGGGCCGCCCGCCGTGCCCGTCCCTCCGCAGCGCGTTGCTTCAGGGAGGCTGTCCCACCTGGGCGTCTGCACCGGCCCGGGGCGGTGCCCGCGCTCAGGGGGTCCCGTTCCCCGCGCTCAGGGGAGGACGGGGCGCGTTCCCGTCTCCCGCTCCCCGCCCGTCCCCGCAGGTTTGGGTTATGAAACATCCGCGGGTTCCCCGCGCCGCCTCAGGAGCCTCAGCGTGTCCCCACACGGGTGTCGGACTCTTCTCCGTGTGTGCTCCAAGCTCACGCCGGTTCCTAGATGGGAACACTTTAATTAAAACCCCTTGTGCTAGCGAGGACTCAAATCTTTATTATTTACCTTTATTATTAACCTTTGTCCCCAGGGTCCCCGCCCTGGGCGTCGTTCCCCAACCGCGGCATCGCTGCCGTGCCCTCCCTCGCCCGGCAGCCCCTCAGCCCACGGCATTTCTGTGCCGGTGTCCGGGATAATTCCGCTGTCACTCTCGGTGTAAAACACTCGGGGTTTGTTCCGGCTTCCCCGTGCAACAGGCTGGAGCTGGGAGCAGCCAGCGCTGCCAGCCGAAATGTGCGATTCTCACTTAAAGCGATCGTGATCTTTCTGTCGCTGCCACTCCAGGGGTAACTTGTTGAAATCATGCTCCATGTAACAGGCAGAACGGAATCGGATACTCGTATTGTCTTATAAACACTTCTAAATGTTTTAAAGGTTGTGTTTAAAAGGCCTCTAAGGTCACTTCCGAGCATCCTTGTGGGGAAGGTTAGTTATTAAATGTGTTTTCATAATAAAAATTACAGAGAGGCAGATGCAGGTGCTTTAGAAGTGTGGTCGATTTCTGCTGTTGGCTTCTTAAATGAGAAGTCAGGATTTCTATGGAAAATAAATCATAGAATCCCAGAATGGTTTATGTTGGAAGGGACCTTAAGGATTATTTAATTTCAACCCCCTGCCATGGGCAGAGACACCTTCCACTGTCCCAGTGCTCCAAGCCCTATCCAGCCTGGCCTTGGGCATTGCCAGGGATCCAGGGACAGCCACAGGTTCCCTGGGTATGATCCTTCTGCAAGAAACCTTTTCTGCTAAAATAATCTCAGTGAGATTCCTTTTAAATGCATAAATAACAGTAGCTCAGAGACCTCAGACATGTCCACAGCCAATAGTTCACCTGAGCCAAGAAGGAATTACTCTGAATTGATGGGAGTATTCCCTGATAAGAGCAGTCCACAGCAGAGACATCAGGCCTCCCAAGCATCCTCCCCAGGTGGTTTTTAAATAGTGAGAGAGGCAAACAGCCTGGCAAGGACAGAGATTGAAGTCAGCATTAGCAGGAATTAATTGGGAAGAAACAGAAGCTTTTGTCCCATTAATAGACTGATGGGATAAATAAGAGAGCTCACAGGTTTACATTCCCATGGCCTGCATGTCCATGCTCTGTGATTTGGGAAGTTCAGCTAAATGTTTTAACATCAAACCTTGCATAAGAAGTGCTCGAGAGTTGGCGTTGGCATGAAAGTTAAACCAAAAGTTTTGTTAAAATTGTAAATTTAAAGTTTAGACCTTGCTATAAAAATGTCCCTGATTTTTTTTAAATCCTTCTGGTTTTAAACTCTTAAGCCACGTATTTTTTTGGGTTTTTGGACAATTTTGACTGATGCATTTTTTGAATTTTCTGCTGGCTGTGAAGTATCTGGTACAGATGCCCCATTTCTAACAAGAGTATAGCAATTATAATTTCACAGTACGAAGAGTAGACCAGACTGTACCGTTCCCTTCATCATAAGACTTGGGTTGCTTTTTGTTTTTTCCTGGAAACTACAGAATTATTTTTTCTCTTACTCTGAAAGACTCTGTCAGAAAAAAATACAGGAACAGCCATCCTGTCAGGATCTAGAATATTGCTGGAGATAGGAACCTGAATTGTTTAATTTTGCTTTTGTTTTTTTGCCTTTGCTTTCACCCCACTCTGATTCAGGGGAAAACTACTAAAAATTAAAATTTTTATAAATTTTATTTTATATAAACATTTAATTTTTTTAGCTTTATGAATGAAGCTAAAAAAATTTTAAATGTTAGTTTTACTGCTAATTCTCATGTGCAAACAACTCTCCTTGTTCTGCAGTGTTATTTTAATAAGGTTTATGGTATGAATATTTTAAATTTAATATTTTTTAATTAAATCTGTTAAAATAGTTAGAATAAGTTTAACATGCTGCACATCCCACTCTTAGCACTAAAATAAGAATAAAATCTCAGTCTTTGTTCCAGAACATACAGAAATGTTTTCTAGCAGGAATATATTAATCTGGGCCTAGTTGTTACAAAATCTGTGGATGCAGAATGTTTGTTAGTATAAAAATAATCACTTTGTTTTGCTTCTGCCTCTTGCACAATGGTCAATATCAGTGCAGGCTGGGATATAAACACAGGCTGGGGATGCACGGCTGGAGCAGCCCTGGAGGAGGATCTGGGGGTGCTGCGGCCAAGAGCTGGAGCTGCCCTGGCCCCCAGAGCCCCCCATGCCCTGGGCTGATCCCAGGGGCAGCAGGAGGGGCTGGGATTGTGTCCCCTCAGGTGAGACCCCACCTGCAGAGCTGCTGAGACCCCAGCCAGGACCTGGAGCTGCTGCAGAGATCCAGAGAGGCACCAGGGCTCAGAGGGATGGAGCTGGCAGAGCTGGGGTTGTTCACCTGCACAGGAGAAGCTTTGGGGTGACACCATTGTGGGCTTGCAGTGCCTGAAGGGAACCCACAGGACAGATGGAGAGAGACAATTTATAAGTGACAGGACACAGGGAATGGCTTCACACTGACAGAGCAGGGTTAGATGGGGTATTGGGAAGAAATCCTGCCTGGTGAGGGTGGGCACACCCTGGCACAGGGTGTCCAGAGCAGCTGTGGCTGCCCCTGGATCCCTGACAATGTTCCACGCTGGGTTCAACAGGGCTTGGATCCACCTGGGACTGTGAAAGGTGTCCCTGCCCATGACAGAGGAGTGGAACCAGATGATCTTTACTCTGTCTTCCAGCCCAAACCATTCTGTGACTGTGATTCCATCATTTTCTGGGATCTGCTGTTGGCTGACACAGCTGGGGCACCCCCAGAGCTGGGAACTGGCTTTGGCATGGGGGGGGTCCATGATCCATGAGCTCTGTGCTGCTCTGGGGGCTCATGGCCTCTGCTGCCTCTGTGATTGCAGATCAGAGCTTCTCCTGAGAGCTGTCACTTCCAGGTCTTGAATTCTATCTGCTGTGGGCGAGTAGGGTTGGAAAAATACCACTGGAGGGGGAAGGGATGGTCAGTGGAGGAAGAGAAACAGAGACAGTGTTTCTGTTTCCCTCTCCTGAAGGGAAGAGGCTTAGAAGAAGTGAAACAGTCTGAGTAGCTTTAGTTCTGTTCAGTGGCAGTGCTCCGTCAGACTCAGGGTCTGGGGTTTTAAGCAGGTGTTGTTTTCTCTCCAGGACAAAAAAGCAAAGAGCATAATGCCTTAGATGCTTGTGCTGGCATTTTAATAGAAATCCTTCACCAACAAGGGGGACTTGGTTGCTTTTATGAGTCCAGGAATGAGACTGTGGTGGGTGGAAATACAAGACGACATTTTAAAAGAGTGTCTTTGCTCACTGCTATGAATTAATAATAATAATACTACTAATAAACTTCATGTCTTTGTGCTGGGGGAGAAAAGTAAAATAATTTTTTAAAGTCTGGATAATAATTGAAGAATCATGTAGAAAGAAAAAAGGGACATTATTCAGAAACAAAAGTAAGGAACAGAAGTGTTGATTGAGGTTGGAGAAGTCCTCCAAAGCCATTGAATCCAACCTGGGTGTGATTCCCACCTTTTTACCCACACCAGAGCCTGGAGTGCCATTTCCAGATGTTCCCTGGACACTCCAGGGATGGACCCCAGGCACTCTGCATGTTCTCAGCTTGAGGACTGCCCTGAGCAGAGGGTGTTCTGTAACAGAAAACAAGTTGGCACAAACTGTGGAAGGAGAAAAATGTTTTTAAGAGACGTGCAGGAGAACTTCCTGCATCTCCAACTCCAGTATTTCATAAAATAACCAGATACCATAAACAGTGCAAGGCACCTAATGGTTCTCTCCAAGCACATGGTGTAGTTTTTGCGCTTCCTCTGAAATTCGGAGTTGGCCATGAATGTTTCAGCCTGAGCTTTTAGGTTTGGTACCGGCAGGCTCTCATGAGCTATTTTTTTATACCTGCATCAAAACTGTGCCTTTGACAAGCTGTGCTGTGTGATGCAGTCACCATCGTGAAAGTGTAATTGTTCCTGTAATGCACTTACAGCAGGCATTTAGCTGCTGGGATAATGAGCACTGTGCAGCCAGCAAAACAGCCCAGCCATGCTCCGTGTGCCTTCCCAGTGTTCAGAATACACAGCTGAACTGGGCCAGAAATAGCAGCTTTCCCTACAGCCATGGTACAAATGATTCATGCAGGTGGCTGAGGAAGACTTTCAGAGGTGCTAAGCTGAAAGCTGAATTTTGGGGTTTTCTCTTGGAGGGGCCTCTTTGTGCTGTGGCAGGAGGGTGTTTTAGTGGCCCAAGAGGCAGCACAGGCACAGGAGCTGCACTGTGTCCCCTAAATGCTGTATTTGGAGTTTAGCTCCTGCTGCAGCCTGGGTTAGACCAGTAATCCCAGGTAATGCACCTGCTGCTCTCCTGTGGGAAATTCAGTCTTGCTGGGCATCCTGGAACCACTGCTCCTATTCAGAAAGTAAATATTAAATACAGGGGATTGTTTTTAATTAGGAATTGTCATTAGATTAATTAGATGTTAACTCTACAGAGCAGGCTTTGGATCCTTGTTGATGAGTGATGGGATTTTAACCAATGTACATGTGCATGCCTCCATCAGCAGCCCAGGTTCTTAAATGTTAGAGGGACACAGCTGTTCCTGAGATCACAGAATCATGGAATGTTTGGGCTGGATGGGACCTTAAAGATTATTTCATTTTAACCCCCTACCATGGCCAGGGACACCTTCCACTGTCCCAGCTTGCTCCAAGCCCCATCCAGCCCAGCCTGGAACACTTTCATGGATGGGGCAGCCACAGCATCTCTGGGCACCCTGTGCCAGAGCCTGCCCACCCTCACAGGGAGGGAGGAATTCCTTCCCAATATCCCATCTGACCCTGCTCTGTCAGTTTGAAGCCATTCCCCTTGTCCTCTCACCCCATCCCTTGCAGAGTCCCTGTCCCTGTGTGTCACAGGCTCCCCTCAGGTGTCCTGCCCTTCCTCAGCCCCAGTGAAGGCAGGAGCCTCCCCCAGGAGCAGAGCTGGGCACTGATGTGACTCCAGACCTGCAGGCACAGAACCAGCTCTGGGCCTGGCTCTTTAATCACCTTAATCTGATTTCCCTGCAGGCTGTTTGTTGCCAGAGGAGCAGGCGCCCTGCCCACTGCTCGGGCTCTGTGTTCCACCTGTCTCTGCATTTGGGGAGGGCTGATGGAAGGCATTAATGGAAATTGTCCTCAAGTAGAAATGCCTGCTATATTTATCTTCAGTAATTCTTCGTGCTGCTGTACTTGAGCTCTGCCACAGCTCTTTTAGTTCATTCAGAGCTGCATTCATTATAGATAACACAACAGCTGGACTATTCTTTTCTAACTCAGTCTTGGGCTCAAAGTGCCAGTAATGATAAATTCTGTAAGAATGGGACTTTAACTGCAGTCTACAAATGACTTTCCTTCACAGCAAGTTCTGATTTGACACCTGTGCTCCCATATGTGTCATTGACTTGTGCCATACATCTTTATTTACCAGTTTGTGAAGAAGCACTGGTGGGTAGGTGTAAACAGCAGGAGGCTTTTAATGGTGACCTTGATCTTTCTGGGAAATTTGGAAAGCAGTTGGAAGCAGGGCTGCTTTTTGGGAGCGTGAAGGATATCTGGATTGTGCAGCTCCCTGAGGCAATGTCTTTCTTTTCATGGCCTCACTGTGTTTTCCTCCTCCACAGAGCTGCTGAGAAAAATCCTACATTGTGGAATAGTTGACTAGATGCTACTGGGATTCAAGTCATGTTTAAATATTAATATTATGAAGTATCGGGAATAAAATATAAAGAGAATTATAGGATTAGTTGGGTTAGCTGATGCACTGCTTTGACCTGAGAGGATGTGCACTGGCATTCTTAAATAGTGGAAGAAGTTTATCACTCCAGTCTTGGAGATGGTAAAAGTATTCTGAGCCTTGAATGTTTGCTCTGAGGATTTGGAAGTGATCCAGAGTCTGGCACCTGGAAGTGTTGGTGGTTGGTACTGAAATCAGTGTCAGTAGAGATGAAGTTTCACCCCTTTGCTGGCTGTGTGTGGAACAGCTGAGGCCTGTGTTCTGACAAAAAACACAACAAAGAATAAGCAGTGAAGAAGCAGCAAATGTTTCCTTTCTTTGCCCTTTGTATCACGGAGAGCTCTGGCAGTGTCCTTGTGAATGCAGGAGGTGGTTTGGAGGTGATGTCAAAGCATTCATCTCATGTGCTGATGAGAAAGGCATCCATGTGCATGGAAAAAAAGTGTTCAGGTATTTAGAATCATAACCTTGCCTCTCTCTTTGTGCCTGAGAACATCCCTGTGTTTGTTTTGGAGAGCAGACCCCTTCTCTGAGCCCAGTGAAGTGACTCAGTCACTGCTGCCACATCCCCACCTGGGAAGGACCATCCTGCTGTGGTGTGGCCTTTGCTGGGTGAAGGGAGATGGGGCTTGCTGAGGCACAAACTTCACTTTAAATGTCACTTTTGAATAAGTAAAGGGTTCCCTGGAGGTTTTGGAGCAGAAAGGAGCTTTTCTCCCAAGGAACTGGCTCATTCACCACAGGGCCCTGTGAGGAATGGCTGCTCTGGCAGGGATGGCGAGGCTTCAGCTGAGAGCTCCTGTGAAACTGGACCTGGAACTGGTGTTCTTTATATTCCAGCTGCTCTTTGCAAAGCAGGCTGTTTCATAAGTGAAGACTTCTTTGCATAGTGTCTGTTTTTACCACAGTCTGATAGTCCATATGCTAAAGAGGCCAAAGTGGCTGAGATACCATCTGAAAGTGGGAATAATCACGGGGATGCTGCCATGTGCTGCTGGGGGAGGGTTCTGAGCTGTGGGAGAACACTTCCAGTTTACTATTTGTTTTTAAAACAAGACAATAAACACAGCCTGAGCAGATTGCACCCAAGTCTGACTTAGGAGCGATGCTGAGTGAGGATTTTCCTTACACTGTTCAAAATGCTGGGTTAAGCTCAGAAGAGTCATTAGACAAACAGCTGAAGTAGAGCAGGTCTGTAGAAACTCCTAAACTGGTAAAACTACCAGTAAATAAATTGGTCCAATCACAACCTCTGCCTTACTTGAATTAATAGAGAAGATATTTTATTAGACAGCTGTGGATTTGGCAGTTTTTAATTTGCTCTCTTGGGGAAATCTGTTTCTTCCACTCCTGCTGGATGATTCCTGTGATCCTTTACCACTAGATGTTGCTGTGTGAGTGATTGATGTAATCTTATCTGATGCTGGATGGATTCATCCCTGAAGAAAAGGAGGAGATACCACTGGAAACAGCATTTCTGCCTGTTTGAAATTTGTATTTTGAGACTTTTGCCTGAGACATTTTTAGAGTTTATTGGCTCTGTTACATTAGTCATAAAGGTTGTTTCTCTCTTGGATACCCAGCAGTGTGCTGATTATTGTTCCCAATTTGGCAGCATTTTCTCTTCAGGTGTGTCTGTAGAGCTGCTGGTCTCAGCAGAGAGAAAAAAAGGCAATAAAATGTAACTTGGCCAAAAATGGTTTTGCAGCAACTCTGTTCTGTAGCATCTGTGGCTTTTCATTCAATGAAAGATGGCAGGGGAAGAAATTTTCGATACATTCCAGCATGAGAAAAAAATCAATTTTCAGGGGAAATTCTTGCCTTTGACTGTTTTTTAAGCTTTCACCTTGTTGGTGAAGGATTACTCACCTCCTTGGGGGTTTGCTGTGTTTATTCTGCACAGAAGTCGACAAATAGAAAAGCTCCATCAGGGTGAACTGAAGTTATCCTAAAGAAAAATTTCATTGCATGGATGTTGTAAACTCCCTGAGACTGAAGTAAAGCTGGAAAGGAATCTACAAGTGAATAAAACAAGAAGTTTGGAATTGGATTTGGGGAATCTGGGCTTGGAAATGCCTCAGGTAAGTCTGCTAGGATTTTCTTCGCTTCTGTAAATAATTTTGCTTTTGTTTAAGAACAAATCTGACCAGCACAAGGAGGGAGGATGTGTAGGAGATTAAAGGATGTGTATTTTGTGGGGTCCCTGTGGTGTCTGTGGTGGAAGCTGTGGTGCTGCTCTGGGTGCTGTGTTTGTTCCAGCTCCAGCCACGTTGTCTGTGGGTGAGGGAGGATGCCTGGAGAGCAGAACAGCCTTTTATTACTGCAGTGATTCACCCTGAGCACACTCAGTGACTTCAGCAGCAGTGTCTCTGCCTTCCCAGCCCTCAGGGGGAGAGCGTCTAGGAGAGGAATTGAGGGCTGGAATTAAATGTAGCAGAAGGCCTTGCTGCCCATTCCCTGCATGCCCACTCATCCTGCATAATGCTTTTTTTGCCAAATTACACTTCGTTCTTGAGAGAGAGGTAACAATCTAGATTTGGTTGTCGTACATTTTGCTTTCCTTACAATTTTATATGGAAGTTTTATGAGTTCTAATGGCTCTAAACACAGTCCACACCGCTTTAGTACAAAATTATTTGTATTAGAGGGACCCCCAGATCTTGCCAGGACTGGCCCTCAGCTTCTACAAACGCCAGCATATCCCAAAACTTGGCTAACATTAGACTTTCAAAGCAGCAGGGAAGAATGAGGGAGCAGTGAATGCTCTTGCAGCTCTGGTGGATAGAAATGTGTCCTTTGATTGCTCCTGCATGTTGTCATCTGCTCCTGAAGCATTTTCTGGCTCTGGGGAATGATGTGCTTATCTGTAGTGCTAAAAACCTTCTGAGACCAGGAGGAATGGTGATTCTCTTTCTGTTTGTGGAAGGCGAAAATGTGCCTTCTCATATCATGTTTGAAATGTGTGTCCACTGTGTTGTAGCCCAGTGTGAGTGGAATGGACCCTCCTTTTGGGGATGCCTTTCGGAGCCACCTGTTTTCAGAGCAGACTCTGATGAGCACGGATCTCCTGGCGAGCAGCTCGGATCCAGACTTCATGTATGAACTGGTAGGTCAGCTCTGTGTGCCCACAATTTCATCTCCTCACCAGTTCCCGTAGGAATAAAGGGCTGTTCCTTCAAGAATGCTGGAAAATTATTCATTATTGCTGGCTGCTGATTAGGGAAGAGCTGCACTGCTTGCCCAGCAAGTGTGATCGTTCTGCAGCAGGCACTTCTTGAAACAGGCTCAAATCCACCTTCACTGGTGCTCCAGCCCTGTCCAGCCTGGCCTTGGGCACTGCCAGGGATCCAGGGGCAGCCCCAGCTTCTCTGGGCACCCTGTGCCAGGGCATCACCACCCTCACAAGGAAGAATTTTCCCCTGCTGTGTTCTGCTTCACCCAGGCTGTGAATGCAGGGGCAAGGGAAATAAAAATTGACTCACAAGTTACTTGTATGAGCATTTCCTTTTTCAAAGGAGAAAGGTCACTCATGGTCATTAATTGGTTGTGTTAGAATGAGGTTTTCCAGAAACTGGTGAACTCAAGTGTATTCTGTTAAGCGCACAGCAAAGATTGACCTAGATTATAGAGATGCTTGTGATGTCTTTCATATTTTAAATGCATGGATATTGGTACTGGTTTAGTTCCTGGTGAGCAGATGGGTTTGCAATAGCAGGGAAATACAGTGTTATAGGAAGAGCAGTGTCTTCAGAAGGACCTGTTGCTGAAGCACAGGACCTGAACTTTATTCTGACCCTCAAAAGAAGCTCTTAGTTGAAAGTTGAGGTCTCTTCCTAGGTCACCCCTCTCTCATACTGCACTGGAATTGAGCTCTCCTTACCAGGTTAAGGAGAGGAAAGAGATGATGGATACTTTTTTTGGTAGTAATTTTAACTTACTTTATTGTGCACAGGACAGAGAAATGGACTATCAGCAAAGCTCCAGGGACAACTTGCTTTTCATGGAGGACTGCAAAGACCTTGAGAACTTGGAGTCTTTTACGGACATCCTGGACAAAGAAGCTGCTTTCACCTCCAAGTGGGAGCAGTGGGATACCTACTGTGAAGACCTAACTAAGTACACTAAATTAACCAGCTGTGACATCTGGGGAACAAAAGAGGTGGATTACCTGGGCCTCGATGACTTCTCAAGCCCGTACCAGGATGAAGAGGTGATAAGCAAAACACCCACACTGGCTCAGCTGAACAGCGAGGACTCCCAGCCTGTCTCAGATTCACTCTATTACCCTGATTTGCTCTTTAGTGTGAAACAAAACCCTTTAAATCCTTTGTTACCTGGCAAGAAGATGGCGAGCAGAGCAGCGGCACCGGTCTGCTCCTCCAAGAATGTCCAGGCCGAGGCCGCGCTGTCGGACTGTGCCCAGAAGGCCAGCAAGGCTGGCAGCCAGCCTGCTTCCAGCACACAGATCATGGCCAAGACCAACGTGTACAGCAGTGAAAAGGTGAACATTCACGTTGAATGTAAAGACTATGTTAAAAAAGCAAAAGTAAAGATCAACCCCTTGCCGCAGAGCAGGCCGGTGCTGAGCCAGGCGCACGCTGACGCGGCCAAGGAAAACACCTGCTACTGTGGGGCTGTGGCAAAGAGACAGGACAGGAAGGGACTCGAGTCCCCCCATGCTCACAGCACAACTCCTGGTTTGCCTTTTAAAGAGACTCGGGAGCTGCTCCTCAGCCCTCCCCAGGAGAGCCCGGGGCTGGCTGTGGGGGAGAGCAGCCTCTCCGCCAGCGCCTCCGTGTCCGACTCCTCGCAGAAGAAAGAAGAGCACAACTATTCTCTTTTTGTAACAGACACTTTGGGTGAACAGTCGGCCAAAGCAGAGCCCGAGGAGGAGGAGGAGGATGAGGATGATATTGAAGATGAGGACCACGATGAAGGGTTTGGCAGTGAGCACGAGCTGTCTGAGAACGATGATGAGGAGGAGGATTACGAGGACGATAAGGACGATGACATCAGTGACACCTTCTCAGAACCAGGTACCGGGGGGTTGCTGGGTTTGTCCTCTGAGGGGGAAGGAAAGCTTTTGAACTCCTGGTAGTTACACATGAGCAGCACTGATCTTAGGTTGTGAACTCTCCTCCCACGTTTTCTAAGTGCTTTGCAACATGCAATTTATTCAAAGTATGCAAAGTCTCTGTTGGCCTGTTTCATGAAAAACTGCACAAACTGTGGTTGTGCAACAAAAATAAAGATAGTGAATACAGGAAGCCCAGCTGTAGCCTGAGGTTAGAGCAGCTGCCTGCAAGTGTGGCCTTCTTTTTTGTTGTAGCTCTCTGGTAGGATGTGCAGAACTTTCTAGCACTTCTCATAGCAATGAATTTATCCAGAGTTGGATCTGTCAGGATGAAATCACATCCTGAGTGAAATGATTCCATAATTATTTAAGTCCTACTCTCAGGTACAGTTTTTCCACAGAATCCAGAGAATGACTGAAATTAATTGAATCATTTCTAGATGGTTTCAGCAGTAACACTTAGGGGCTTCAGAGGATACTGAATTCCTCTCTCCTGCCTTCAAAAATGGAGTTCTAAGAGCAGGAATAAGACTTAACCTTCACCTAGAATGTAGCAAAACAGTAATATTGTATAAAAATAAAATCTGCGCAGGATTGTAATCAAGTATTAATTTAATTTCATAAAGTATTACAATATTCACATCTTATAAATGCCCTGTAGTAGAGAATAAGAATTAAAGTATTCAGACATTTGGCAATATGTAACTTCAGGGGGATAAAGCAGCTGAAATTTTTCCTTGTTGAGAGCAGCAGCTTCCCTAAAGCTTGTCAGTGTTTGTCATAATGAACTCTCAGATGAAATTATTTTCTAATTAGATTTCCTGCGTTGGCATTAAACTCGTTAAGCATTCTGCCCTTTATGCTACTTTCACATGCACACAACACATTTTTATTAACATTTTGAAGCCTCTTCCTCCCTTCTGGAGTGAACTCCCTCTGCTTTCTGGGGCCCTGAGCAGCTGTTCCAGCTCTGCAGCCCATGGGGGATGTGTTGCACTGGGAGCCTGGAATCCCTGAAAAAGAGAGGTTGTGTTAAATGCTGTGGGTGGAATTAATTAATTAATGATTTTACTGACCAGCAATCCACATTCTGCAGCAGTAGCTGAGGATCTGGGCTTATCCAACCTTGCCAAACCCTTCCATGAATGAAGCCTAAAACCATTCACCTCAAATGTGGTGATATTAAAAAATTTATCATCTATTTTAGAAAATAACATCTCCAGGTATTCTAATCATGCCACTGTTATATTTTGTGTTGCTTTTTTACCTCTAAAGGTAAATACTGTGGGTAAAGGATCTAAAAATAGGCACAGCACAGGAAAATTAAACCTTCCACAGGTCTGAAAGCAAAATCAGTTGGTATTTTGAGTGAGGCTGTAATTTACTGAAAGGACAAAAATCTGCTAGTTATGGCTGACCCTCTAATGTTTTTTTATACATAATTTACTTCTGGTTATTCTTCATGTATGCTTCTAGACTGAATGAAATGCTTTCTTCAAATGTTATCTGAGAAAATATTTAGATATAGTGAAGGAAAAATAGCTAAAAATGTGACTGGCTCTCAGGCAAGTTTGGACAAGAATGTTTTTATTATCACCATGACACAGATTTAGCAAATTTGGTCTCCTGCAAAGGTAGTTTATTATGGGAATTACCAGCCCAGACCTTTTCTAGCATTTGGTTTTGCTATTACTGAGTATATTTTTCTTATCTCATTTCATAGAAAGATTTTTCAATGACTGTTAGTCAGGAGATTGCAGAAATGGGAAATGCAGCAATTTATTCATTTGCCAGGAGCACTGGAGAAGAAATGAGTGTGAAGTGCTCGTGGAGACGCAGAGATGGTTTCCAGAAGCTGCAGTGGGTCAGTGTGAGCCCCTGGGGCTGAGCTGGGGAGCACTGGCAGTGATTTGCCCGAGGCCTCAGCGGTGCAGGGCTGCAGAGCAGCAGCTCCTGCCTTTGTTCTCGGGGCTATTTTTGGGTTTCACCTGGTCAGAGTCACGTGCACCCTGTGCTCTGTTCTGCTTCATTTAACCCTGGTGAATTTAAACCCAAAACCACGGGGAGGGATGTGAAGAAAGACTTTTGGGAAGGGGTGAAAGGCTTCAGAGTTGAGTACAAGAACCCTTTGAGATTTCTTAGAAGCCTGCCCTGCTGTGTGATCTTTGCTAAGAGGAGGGATAAATGCAGAGCAGAGCAGCTGAACAAGTTTGTGTGTTAGCTTAGGACACTGCTCTGGGTTCTTTTATGTCACTTTATAATGGCAGCAGGTCAGTGTGGGCCTTGCAAGGCAGGATGTATTAAGTCAATGTAATTGAAGTTTCTAACTTAATTACAGTTTGAATAAGCAAACAGGAAGTCCTGATTTTAACCTTGTTGTACATTTGTACACTTCATCTCTTACAGAGATTTGTTTTCATTGGTTGGATTAATTCTGTGTTATCATGAAGATGGGCTCCATTTATATATTTCTGTATAATGAGTTCCATAGCTTTTTTATAAGGTGGAAAGTCAGTGGGCTTTTTGAGTGTATTTTAATACTTATGTCAAACAGTATTTGAGTAAAATGGAAATATAGTTACAAATATTTATGGCATTTGAAACCATATTTCATGTAAATTATCAATAACTTTGGCTATACAGCACAAATGTTTTATAAAGCATGTTTCATTGTTTGATGTGCCTTTAAAATCCTGCCTTCCCAACAAACCAGAGAACCCAAGTAAATGAGTTGATGAAATTATAAGAAACAGAACTTCAGGATGGATTTCATCCCTCTGCATACCTGACTTCTGTTCGTGCTTTGGGTTATGATGTGAGAGACAGACCAAAGCAAGAAAGTTTGTTTTTCCTCTTTCAACTGGTTTTTCAAGTGCAAACAGACTAATTGAAGGGACTGTTTTAAAAGGAAGAAAGTGTTCTTTGTGCTGCTGGAAGATGAAGCAGAGCTGAAGCATATGGGGTCAAGGCTTGCTAAGCCTGCAGCCCATGCATGGGTGGCTTTTCCTTCAGCTCCATCACAGAATGTGATGTTTAGAAATGCTCCTTTTTGAGTCAATGTAAACTAATATTTAGCATTTTAGCACAAAAGGTCATGCAGTGGTTTGAGAGTTTTTTTAACCTTAGTATAGATTATCTTTATTTTCTAAAGCATATCTGGGGTTTGAAAACCTGTGGTTTGGGTTTACATAGTTATGGTAAAATATTTCTGTGATGGGGGCAGTGGCATTACAATTTCCATGTCCTCCATGAGCAATTCATGATATCAAGTGCATCATAATTCACCTCTAAAATATTATACAGCTTTACTGAGGGTCAACAGAGCCCCTTTCTCCAGCCTGGGAGGGATCAGTGCTTGCATTTATTCCCTGCAGGTCTTTGGACTCAGGAGCAGCAGGAGTTGGATTCAATCCTCTGGGCCTCATCCAACTCACATTGTTCTATAATTGAATAATTTTTTCTTTATTGTCTTTTGCTAATCCATCTTTATTTAATCTGCTTCTCTTTCCATGCTTTTTGTCAAATGTGGAGGTGAGTTAGGATTGTGTTCCTGCCAATTCATGGGGAAAATTGTCAGGATGGGTGAACGTGGTCCAACATCTGCTGTCTGTACTTGGCACTGCTGGGATTGTGGGGAACTACAGCTTAGGGGGTCAGAGAGCATAAAGGGACTTTAAATACGTAAATAATTTTGTTTTTTTCAACTAATGAAGGCCCATCAGTGGCTCAGTGTCTGTCCTGGATTTAAGGCCAGTACCCAAGAGCAGTCAGTGCTGGAAACCAAGTGTTAGATAATGCAAAACAGAGCTGGCTGTGGTTTTGCTCTCGACTTGAATCCTCAGTCTGCTGCTAAAGGGCTACAAACAATTCTGTCAGCAGTATGTAAACAACCCCCTGCATCATTTTAGGGTATGAAAACGATTCTGTGGAGGATTTGAAAGAAATGACTGCCATCTCCTCTCGGAAGAGAGGCAAGCGGAGATACTTCTGGGAGTACAGCGAGCAGCTGACACCATCCCAGCAGGAGAGGATGCTGAGGCCCTCGGAGTGGGACAGGGACACCCTGCCCAGCAACATGTACCAGAAAAATGGGCTCCACCATGGTAAGAAATCCTCTTTCTGGTCACAAATGACTGTATTCCCCTTGTGACACCGTCAGCAGCCAAATTCCCCTCCCTGTGAGTGCTGGGAAGTTTTGGCCATGAAAGCTCCAGCCCTGTAAATCTGTTACTCTGCAGCGCCCAGGGAAGGCACAGTGAGCACACAGTAGGGACTTTCAGTGTGGTTTCTTCCAGAGGAGTGTGGATGAATTGGGAATTGTGACTTCCAAGGGCTCTCAGTGGAAACCCCGAGAGTTCAAAGCTTTCTCAGTGTGATACTGTAAATATTGGAAGGGGACTTGACTGGTGTTTGCTGCTCGTGGCTGTTGCTGTCAGTGCTGCCTGTGTTAGCAGGAGGCTGGGAGGGCTCTGGGCTGCCAAGTTCAGGGACTGGTATGAGCTGAGGACAAGCACTAAGGCACAGCTGTCTCTCTCCTTGTTTTTCTCCTGTGAAAGCAGCACAGTGAAGCAGTTACTCCTCTGGGAATAAACTATTTCCTTAAGATGCCCTCTTAGAAACTTAAACCAGTTGCTCTAATAACTGATTGATTCCCAGTGAGCAATTACTGCACCACAAACATGATTAACATCACCCAAAACAAACCACTCTTAGGGGTATTTCTGTTTTCTTCTCACAGGACCTCTTTTAGGCTGCTCCATTTTGATTTTGAAGGAGCAATTTAAACCAACTTCCCTGGTTGTAAGGTTAATGTTCCCTTAGAGTTGAAAATTACTGCCTTTAACATGGCAATTGGCCTTCTCTTAAATCATACTATTTTTTTGTTGTTCTTGCTGTTACCTGTAGATTTATTCAGGGAAGAAAACATTTTTTTCTTTGAATGTCCTTAGTTTTTAAAAGCTTCTTTATCTTGTAGTGAAATAGCAGTACCTAAAGTCCCTAATACTGCTCTTTCTCATCATGGACCTCTGAGCAGCCTGGTCTAGTGGAAGATGTCCTTGCCTGTGGCAAGGGGGAGAAAAAGATGAATTTAAGGTCCCTTCCAACCTAACCATTCTGTGATTCCATTATTTTATATTTGTTATCCAACACCAAATAACCAAAAGTGCTCTAAGGACTCAAACCGACAGACGCTTGGCCACTTGACCTTGAAGTCAAGTGCAAAACCAGGCCTTAAACAGCTTCAAATACATAAAATACAAAGGGTTAACTGGCATTTATGTGGATGATTTCATCTCAGCATTGCTGAAGATTTTTTCAGCAGCAGGCCTCAGCACTCTTTCTTAGTACAGGGCTTTGGCAATAAGATTATTTAGGAGTTTAATCCACTGGAGTGTCCAGAAGGATATTTTGGCTGCATATGAGTTAACAAGTTTACAGCTGCAGCAAAACAACAGGGTTTGAACTTGTGACATACATTTTGCAGCAGGGTTGTGTGTATGCTCTCTGTCACATCCAGTGGCCTTGCCAGCAGTTTTTGCTCTTATCTGATCTGGATAGAATATGAATTGTACAAAGCTCTTTGTGTGGAAATGCTTTTTCTATTGTGAGAGGCCGTGGGGATCACCTGATTCCAGCCCATTCTTCTGCAGTGAACAAAGGAACTTAAACTGCACCCAAAAGATGCCTATTTTAGAGTGTTTTCTCACAGGTTTGTGTATGTATTATGTCACTTCCCTACCCATTTTTCTTCATCTTTAAAACAGGAAAATATGCAGCAAAGAAGTCACGGAGGACTGATGTAGAAGACCTGACTCCCAACCCCAGAAAACTCCTCCAGATTGGTAACGAGCTGAGGAAGCTGAACAAGGTGATCAGTGACCTGACACCCGTCAGTGAGCTTCCCTTAACTGCCAGACCCAGGTCAAGGAAAGAAAAGAACAAGTTGGCTTCCAGGTATGCATTGGGTGAAGCTGCAGGGATGAGAAAATTTGGATTGCTACAAGTTTTTTCTTTAGATAAAGATCTAAATAATTTTTGCCTAAAGAAATTCTGCTTCATGTGGCAGCTCCTGCAATGAGAGTTGCATTTTATCAAATGGGAGTTGCCAGTTTATCAAATGGGAATTTCCAGTTTATCAAATGGGAGTTGTAGTTTATCAAATGGGAATTTCCAGTTTATCAAAAAGCAGAGCAGCTGGCACCTTGGGAGCTGTGGTTTGTGTGTCCCTTAGATAAGGATGTGTTTCCACTGGAATTGGTTTCCTTAGCTGTGGAGCAAACAGCTGGGACAGTGGCAAATTCCACAAGTGTCAGATGTGAGCAGATGCAGGCAGCAGAGTGTTTTCAGAGCAGCTGAGTGAGGATGGATGAGTTTGTGCATCACAGCTCTGGGAGGGTTGGTTGATGAGTTCATGTGGCTCTTACTACTCTGGAATTTCTGGCAGTGCTCTAATTCTTCCCCTCTTCTTGCCATAGGGCTTGTAGACTAAAAAAGAAAGCCCAATATGAAGCCAATAAAGTGAAACTCTGGGGTCTCAACACGGAATATGGTAAATACAACTCTTCACATCTTCATTTTCCTTTTGTTTGGGCAAGTCTGTGTTTTGCACCATGGTGTAACCTGGCTCATAGAGAAAAGAGTTGGTACAAACCCAGCTCATTGAATGAAATGAATGTAACTTGGGTTATCTGCAATGTTGAGCTACTTTGCAGGTGTGAATTATGTAGATGTATGCATGTTCTGTAAATATTTTTGAAAATATTGGTAATATTTGATGTAAACTATTACATTTAATTTTACAGTAAGTGTGATGTGACACCTTTGACACAGCTGTGTGTGGGTAACTGTGAATCCCTTCCAGAGGAATGTGCTGTAAAGCTAATCCTTTTTTTTTCTTTGCAGATAATTTACTCTTTGTCATCAACTCCATCAAACAAGAAATAGTTAATCGGGTGCAGGTACCTAAGGATGACAGAGGAATCAACATGGAACAAAAGTTGAACATACTTATTAAAGACACTCTTGGTAAGCAGTGAGCTTTGTGTATTTACCTGGGTACGGAGATAGAGAATCTTTTGTCCTGAGGAGGCCCAAAGCTCATCCCATTCCACCAGAGACTCCTTCCACTGTCCCAGGTGGCTCCAAGCCCCAATGTCCAACCTGGCCTTGGGCACTGCCAGGGATCCAGGGGCAGCCACAGCTGCTCTGGGGACCTGTGCCAGGGCCTCCCCACCCTCACAGGGAGCAGTTCCTTCCCAATATCCCACCTAACCCTGCTCTCTGGCAGTGGGAAGCCATTCCCTGTGTCCTGTCCCTCCATCCCTTATAAAGATTCTCTCTCCATCTTGTCTTACTCAGGCACTGTGAGGCCACAGTGAGGTCACTCCAAAGCCTTTCCTCTCCAGGCTGAACAACTCCAATTCTCCCAGCTCTCTGATCATCCTGGTGCCTCCTCTGGGCTTGCTATATTTGATTACAAACAATTTCTGATCTGGAGGAACGAATTAACCCTTTCCTGGTTCCATTTGTCCCAGCCAAAGTGTCCCCTGGCTTTGGTCACCTGTAATGATGCCTTGTGAATGCTGAGCTAGAGAAGAGACTGGATGGAGTTCCAGAATAAAGCAGGGATTTATTAAAAGCATCTCCTCCATGGATGCACCTTGGGCAGCACCAGAGCCCAGCCAGGGCTGCACCCAAGATGAACCAAAATGGCCCCAAAATGCACGGCCGGGCACGGGGTCTGTCCCTGGGATCAGTTCTGCTCCATTTGCACCTTGCAGTTCATTGTCCCATTCCAGCTTTAGCCCAGGCAGTCCCACCCTGCTTGTTTTCCTCTCTCCAGCCCACGGTGTTTGTGCTCCTGGGCTGAGATTTGGGTAATTTGTCCTTGGTGCCCAGCTGGAGCAGGAATTGTTTTGTCTCCCTGATCTCTGCACAGAGCTCACCATGCCCTGATGTGAAGCTCAGACCCACACACTAAAGCAGCACAGAATGTGAAAAATAGAAAAGCTAAACCCTGAGGCATCAGCAGGATTGTGCCATGAGCAGTGAGCTGAGAGCAGCTTCTCTTCCCTCCCTTTCAGGACTCCCTGTAGCTGGCCAGACGTCGGAGTTTGTGAACCAGGTGCTGGAGAAGACGGCGGAGGGAGACCCCACGGGCGGCCTGGTGGGGCTCAGGATACCCATGGCCAAGGTGTAGGGCAGGACTGAGCTGCTCCTGGGGCAGGTTCTGCCTGTGCTGCCGAGTTCCTCGCTGTAAATGGCATTCTGGTCTGCATGTCAGCTTAGCATTCTGTAAACACTCACCTGTAGGTTCCATTGGTTTCAAGTAACAGTGTAGGAAAACAAATCACGGCGTGGTAGAAAATGCTGCAGAGCATTTCTGGACCATAAACCAGATAGTTTCAAAGCTGCTTCAAGCTCAAGGGCAGAAATGAGAGTTCTCTTTCAAATGATCTAGGACCAGAATATATCACTTTTGTTTTAGAAGCAAAAACATGGATTTGCTAGAGAAAAAAATATTTTAGCATTTGCCAGACATTGTGACAGGTTTATGGTCCAAGTGAAGTAAGAGGAAGCATTTTTTTGGTGAAGCTGTCAATGTAGGGAGTTTTTTGTTCTTTTTTTATTTTATTTTTAAATAATTGAATTTTCTTTCCTTGTTCTTAAAAAAAAACCAGTAAGCTTTCTTTGCAACCATTAACTTGTACATAGCACACGCAGCATTAGAGCTAGTGTGCCATATAAGATTTTAATTTTCTGAGCTTAATAGAGTATTTAAATGTCCGTGCAAGCGAGAGAAAACAAAAGTATATTCTTTGTGCCTTGTATTTTGTGGGGAGAGCTATCAGTATAAGCTGGTAAAGTTTTGTATGAAGAAAACCCTGAGGGGCAAAACCGAGCTGTATAGATGGTGAAATTTTAGGTTTTAATGTATTTGTTCCAGCTCTTAAAAATTTTTGAATGTATATAGGAATATGTTGAAAATGTAGATATATGCCACAGAGTCTATGTATTGTATAAAAGATGGCTCTAGAAAACTCAATTTCGGTACTTTGGCCGGAAGAAAACAAATACTTGCACATTAATGCGATTGTTTATTTTTGTACCAAAGACAAATGCAACTGATATGGCGAACTGCCAGTCTAAGTAAAGTTTTGCACAGCTTATATGATACTGTACTGAATGTAAAAACAAAAGAAAAAAAGTAAAAAAATTAAAGGTCAGGGTTAGGGATCTTACTGAACTGTGAATTTTTTTGTTTGGGTCCAATTATCTACAGAAGGAGCATTCATACATAACAATATTATTTTGCTGTTCTTGTAGTTCGCTTCCATGGTAGATAAGTTGGTGGCCGTCTTGGAGTCTTTAAATCTTTTTTCTCTGCACTTACTGTAGGAGATTTTAATATATTTGGATTTTAGTAAGCTATTGGTAAAATAGTTTTCGACTTTGAGAATTTAAAAAAAAAAAAGTATTTAGCTTGTTGTAGTATACTTCCACCAAACAACCAAAATAAAATTATTTTTATTGTAACGTGTATATATGTAAAGAGGAAAAAAAGAGCTACAAATATCTAATTCCTTAGTTGCCACTTTTCCAGTTGATGTATTATTATGCATGTGATGTTTCCAAGGATCAACACAGGCTTCAAACAAAACAAAAAAAAAATTTATAGACTTTTATATTTTTGTACAGGTATTTCGAAACTAGCTTCTTCAGACTTATATGTGACTTATTCTTGTTAATTCAGTAGTTTCTATGATTGAAGAATATTAACACAAAGTTCTTATTTGCTCTTCTGCTAATAAGAGTTGGCTTTGTAGTCAGTGTTAACGTACAGATAAAAGCTTTAGCCTTTGATGAGAAAGTCCTTTATCTCAAGGCAAGATCATTCTCTGGTTTCATGGACCCCCCCTCCTTTTCCTCCCTGTTCTTTCTCTCCCTATTTAAAGATGACAAAACACTGTTTACTGAAAATAGAAATACCAAATATTTTCAAATGTAGCTGCTGAAAAAAAAAATGCAAAAGTCCATGAAGGCTTTCTCCCCACTCCCTTTGGGGAACTTCTCCACTTTGTTTCTAGTTTGTCTGTTTGTACTGTGATTCCTTTTTGTTTATAAGTAGATTATTTTTGTATCCAAGCTTGTACTATAAGAGAAAAAAGCCTGAATTGGTAACAGTGGCCGGTGAAAGTGGTGGCCCTGCCACACTCACAGCTTCCTTTGTACCTAAATATTTGGGAAGACTCAAAAGGGAGGAGGAGGCCAAAATACCACTACTGAGCTGTACAGAAAGTCTTTCCTACAAGAGACTGAACAAATACCCAGGGCAATTTAGGCAAAAGTTTGTAAATCCACTTAAGGCTTGCAAAATCTGAGTGGAATGTGGGTGTTTTCCTTTGAGGCGTTTGTGGTGGTGGTGGTGTTGTTGTTCAGGTGAGGTGAGAGTTGGCTGCTGCTTTCCACGGTGGGTCTGGTGTATTCCTCTTGTTCTTGTGGAGCTGCCCAGGGCCCCCAAACCCCGACAGAGAATGTGTCCTGTGAGGTGCAGGCTGTGCCCGAGCAGGGCTGAGCACGGAGCTTGTCCCTGTGCTCCAGCCAAACCCTGCAGGCCAGGCAGCATCTCAGCATGGAGAGAGAGCAGTTTGAAATCAGGTAAAAACTTCTGGGACAAATTCAACTGACAAGGTATTTAAAAGCCCCCCCCCCCCCCCCCTTCCTTTTCTTACTGCCTGGGAATCCTGGGCAACACACAACTTTATAGCTTTTTGTTTTTGTCTGAGAACCAGACTATGATTTTGGTCTCGCATTTCAAAGTAGACTTTGAATCTTTAGTGAGTTCCATACCCTCGCATTTCAGTGTTTCCTATGTATTATTTTAAGTTAAAGCTTTGAAATAGTTGAGCTTTTTAATGTTGACACTTTATTTTGTAACTATTTATATGTATGTATATCTTAGAAAAGCACTTTGTTTAAAAAAAAAAAAAAGAGGAAAAAGAAAAAAAAAAAAGAAATTGCGTTTTATATGATTCCTGCCACTTGCTGCTAACTCTGGGCTGGTCAGAATGCTGCAGCGATACTTGAGATAAATAAAACCTGGCAGTAAAATGTAGAGTAAAGATAAGACCTTTTGCTGGTTTAACTTTATCATAAAGGTGACATAGGCAAGCTGTGCAGCTTTACATTTTAACCAGGGGACTCTGTGGCATTTAAACCGTCTAGAAATGGTTGTACTTTAATGCCAGTAACAATCTGCTTCCTCTAGTGTCATTAAAATATATACATTTAGTGTATACTTATCACAAACAAAAATCTTATAGGGTATAAAAACCAACAAATGTACATGTTCTGTTTTTTGGCAATTGTGGCATGCGTTTTGGGGTGATCTTTAGAGAAGACCATTTTCTAAAGATTTTCAGTGTTCATACATAGTATGTGGATCTTAACGAAGTCCTGGGGTTTTTTTTTTTGTTTGTTTGTTTTTGAGTGTAGGCATTGTGAATATTCACTTTTAATCCTATATCCAAAAACAATGATCTATTTTTTGATTTAATACAACCAGAAAGCTCTTCCTTTTTCTGATACACTGGATTCTCTAGGATTTGTTTCCATATTAAAAGCATGCTGTCATAACTGCTCTTGTCGAGATCTCGTCAGTCTGAACGTAGGTGCCACACTTGGAATCGATGGGCTGCTTGTTCTGCTGTACCATGTATGACCCTCGTCCTTCCCCTCCCTTCATGACAGATGATGATGTGGCTTTATATTGTGCCTTACTTGTACATCTAGAACTAAGTGTTTTTCATTCCCTCTGAACTCGTCCAAGCTTCTGAGGTGGAATCAGAGCTGACGTAGGCGTGCTGGAGCGAGTGCGGACAGGGCCGATTTCAGTTTCTCTCAGTAGTCCTTTTGTATTTCTATGGAAGACCAGTTTTTGAATGGCCTTGCAAAACGTGGGGGTGCTCCTGAAGGGTGTTTTTAAACCCAAACCCCCTTTTGCTAACGCTTCCTTTTATGGTTTATTGAACACATTTACTGATATTTGGTGAGTACTTTTTGTTTTTTGGGATGAGAGAGACTTACTACTAAAGCTATGTTTACGTGTGGATGAGCTGGATTTTCCTATCATACCAGTCGAAATCATTGTGATTTAATAAAGTTGTATTGCTGTAAAGCTGATGTGAGAGTCAGGCTCAGCTGTGTTCAGTTCCTAATTTATAGATTGACTTTTTTCCATACTAAGAGGGCCAGGGAAAAGTTGGGGTTTTTTAAAAAAAAAGCAAACAAACAAAAAACCAACCTAAAATGGATGAAAGGTCTTTTAACTAACCTAAAAGCAAACAGACACTTTGGAAATGTAGAAGTGTCAGTTTAAAATTTATTTTTAAAAGACACCCCCCAATATTTATCTAATATTTGCCTTCATTAATGAAACAGCTAATTCACAGCTATAATGACTGGATGTGCTTTTCCATAAATCATTTAAACATAGCTTTTTTTTTTTTTCTTTAAAGAAGCTCTAAAAGGTTTTATCAGGAGAATTTCCAAGGGTTGTATCCAAGCTGCCTCCAGCAGAAATAGCAAATGCAGTTCTGCTCCTCAAACGTGCTTGCTCGTCTTCCTGAAATTCTGCTGAGGCACAACCCAGTTCTGGACCGTGAATGTCAGGATCTGTATTTGGCCTTGAGACCCGAGTTTCAAGAGTGCATCTAAGCATGATTTGATTTTCTTTTGAAGTTGGAGGCTTCAGTTGGAATCACCTAGTGGAGTGTGCTGCTAGATGTGGTCTTGGCTTGTTGACACAGCCTTGCACACAGCTGAGGTTTATTTTGTTTACCCCAGGGATCGTGTGAAGTACATTTCAAACAGTTGCTGCCTCAGTGACTGATCCTTCTTGTAACTGTATTAAGGGCATTAGTCTGTTGAGAAAACACCACTCTTGAATATCTCCCAATGTACATTGGGATTCTTCAATGTCATTAATCAAAGATGGCACTTTCAGGCTGTATCTTCTTTGCAGCAAACAAAAATCTCTGTCTTTCTACAACTTGCATTTCACAATATGCCATGTTTTCCCTCCAGTGCTTCGAGAAGGTGTCTTTGCACTCTGAATATAATCCTCAGCCTCTTAGACATCCATGAACTTCCATGGGAGCAAATACTGACTCGGAATTTATTGTCTTTCTAACAAGCTGTGGAGCTAAAAGTGGAACCAGAGCTCTTTTAAGCCACACTTGCATTTTTTTTGTTTCCCCATTAAAAAAACCACCAAAATTCCAAACTTTTTACATCATTGTTCAGAGTTTTTCTGGAGTTTAAAATAATTTTTAGTTGGGTATATTTAAAGTCAAATTTGCGTGACTTAACTTCTGGATTGACTTTTCTGGTGTTGGAAAAAGCACATCCCACCCTATCAAAATCTTCTGATTAGGAAACAGAATCTAGTAAAAAAACTTGATTTTAATCTCTCTTATAATGATGGATATTCATACATTCTTATTGGAATCGCCTATCTTCCCAGAGTATTATATATCCAAGGAAAACTTCTTGCTCAGTATTTGTGGTTGGGTGAACTCTTAAGGCTGATGGCACATGCAGATGCAAAAAAAAAAAAAAAAAAAAAAAAGGCATTTTAAATAAAACATTAAAAACATAAAACATGGCATCCTGTTCTGCCTATGCTTGGGGTCATGATTGTAATGCTGTCCTTGATATTCTATAATCAACTTCCAACTGGAGCTCAGAAAAACTTACTGAAAGTCTTGTCTCTGTTAGAAAATAAATTTACCTTGTTCAAAGCATGATCTGTTAAGAGTTGCAATGTTAAATGTTGGTTAATAGTTGTGCAGTTTTATTTTTTTGAAAAGAGGCACAATTAAACTATTGACTTTGTTTACTCTGTCACCCTTGATCCCTAGCACTTCTATTCAGATACAAATTCATCAATGTATGCAACATCCTTTGTAATTTAAAATAAAAATTGTGGAGGAAATACTGTCTCGAGTCATTGTGTGGAATGATAGTGTGGCTTCTGCTGCCTTGAACTAAGTCCCTGACATCTTGATATTTCCAGGAAATTTCCTTTGGAAGGGATGACAGCTAGGTAAGGAAATATCTGGATTTTCCTTCCTCATGCTCAGAGCTGCCTCTCAGCACTGCTGGGGCGGTGTGGGAACATCTGGAGAAGCTGGGTCAGTGCCTGGAGAAACTGCTCCCTGCAGCTCCTGTGGAAATGGCCTGAGGCAGAGGGAAGGAACAGCACCAGGGGTGAGTGTGAGAAAAGCAAAGAGCATTGCCTGATTCTCATTTCGGGGATGCAGAAATGACCCTGCGTTCACCCACCCTGCTCCTGACCAGTGTCAGCCTGGCCAGGAGCCCAGGGAGGCTCTTGGATATAAACCTGGAACTTCTCCAGGGGAATCTTCTGGCTCTGCATAATTCCTGACAGGAGGGGACAGCCAGGGGGAACAGGGACAGGAGGAGAGGCAATGGCTTAGGCTGGGCCAGGGCAGGCTCAGGGTGGGCAGAGCAGGAATTTCCCCATGGAAAGGGGGCTCAGGGCAGGCTCAGGGTGGGCACAGTAGGAATTTCTCCATGGAAAGGGAATCTGGAACTGCCCAGGGAGGTTTGGAGAGCCCATCCCTGGAGTGTCCCAAGGAGGGCTGGAGGTGGCACTCAGTGCTCTGGGCTGGGGACAAGGTGGGGATTGGGCACAGCTTGGGCTCGATGGGTTTCGGAGGTGTTTTATAACCTCAGAGATCCTGGAATTGTGCTGTTTCTCCCTTTGGAGCAGCACATTCCCCGCCATGGCCCCGGCCCCGCCACGTCCCCTCAGCCCCGGCGTCCCCGCCCGCCGCCCGCAGGGGGCGCCCGCGCGCGCCTGGCCCGCCCCGGCCCTGCCCGGCCAAGATGGCGGCGGCCGCGGCGGTGCCGCTGCGGGTCTGCCACCAGGAAATCGTCAAGTTCGACCTGGAGATCAAGGCGGCCGTGCAGGTACCGCCGCCAACCGCGGGACACCCCGGCACGGCCTCGGGGAGAGCCGGGCCCGCGCTGACCGCGCCGTTGTGTTCCAGGACATCCGGGACTGCCCGGGGCCGCTCAGCGCCCTCACGGAGCTCAATGCCGCCGTCAAGGAGAAGTTCCGACACCTCCGCGGCCGCATCCAGGTGAGGGGCCCGGCCGGGGCTGCTGAGGGCACCGAGCTGTGCTCCGGGCCCACCGGCTGTGCTTTAGGGCTGGAGGAACCCGGCTGTGGGTTCCTGCCGGTGTTTGGGGTGTTCTGCGAGTGTTTTGGGGGTCCCGGCTGAGATCTGGGGAGTCGCAGCCCAGGATTATCAGATAAATGTGCTCCGAACCCGCTCCCCGGCCGGGGCTGGGCTGTGCGAGCTGCGGGTGGCTGCTGAGGTTCTGGTGTTTGTGCTCTCCGCCGAAGGAGCTGGAGCAGATGGCCAAGGAGCAGGACAAGGAGTCGGAGAAACAAGCCTTGCTGCGGGAGGTGGAGAACCACAAGAAGCAAATGCTCAGGTGGGTCTGGCAGCTGGGGCTGTTCCCCAGCCCGCTGTAAGCTGAGATTGGCTGGGTTTGGTGCGGCGTTTCCCAGAGTCTGGTTTGGAAGCCCAGCCCCTGCCACGTGTTTTGTGCCAGACCGAGAGGTCAGGGACAGAAAGGGTTCAGCTCCCTTCTCCTGCCCTGACTTCCTG